AATGTCTGCATGGTCTTAGTGATACAATTTTCTTTTTGTCTGCCTTGGACATTACATTTTTCCTATATATAATCTGGCTCTTCTCCTTACAGTATCTGGAAGTTGCCTCTCAACTACAGAACTGTCGACTCCATCTTTCCAGACTCAGGACACACAGCTGCTATTGCTGCTTCTGCTGACACCTAGGAGAGATAAGAACCAGGAGAGCACAAGGTCTGTGAGCAGATGCAATGAGGTCTATTAACTTGTCAGGCTACAGTGAAAACCAATATAAAGCATGCAGATTACACAACACTCTGCTTCTTCAGGCCCGTAGCTTCTGGGACACCTCAACAAGACCAGCAAGTCACAAACACCATTACAAATACGGGGCAGAAAAGCCAGATCAGATCGAAAGCCGGGTACTCCCATTTCTCCCTGTTCTCTTTATCAAGAAAGAGTGAGGAAGGGTAGAAACAAGGAGAGAGGTCACCAAACCAAATATGTAGAAAGGTGGCTGAAATCAGCTACTGTATCCATGTATGGAGACTATATACAGGCCCTGGTGGACAGAAATGCTTCAGTGCTAAATGTTACAAGCTGCACTGGCTGAGAAGGGAAGCACACAGCAACAAGCTTTCAGAAGGTACAGGCAAGAGTTGGCACGGTGTTACATGGAGGTTGAAGCCATACCCACCACAGCTCTGGGGGAACAGAGAACAGCCCCTGTAAAGGAAAAGAAAAAAAAAGCACATGAGAAGTGAACTAACATTTAAGTCTATCTTAACAGCTGTGCTCTCATGGCCAAGATTTTCTTTCCACTAAAACAGAATGAGGAAGAAGCCAGAGTAGTATTTCCTATTACACACATAACAGACTTAACTGGTCCAGGAGTATGCCCCCAGCACACAGTTAGTCAGAGTTTGAGCCATGACAGCCCATTTTCTAAGATTTAAGATTTAAGCTCAACTGCAAGAAGATTCTCTCCAGCAATCTAGCCTTCCCTATCACACTGATGGCTTCACCTATAAACAGAATAAGGAAATAACTACTTGCTTCTTACAAGAAATCACGCCTCTGACAAAGGACAGGCTATAAATATTTCTGTGTTATTTTCAGAAGAATCTACATCTTCACTGGTTAAGTTTCTTCTCAGCAATGTGGCAGCCGCTCCTCAGGCATCCTGTTACACAGTCCCACATAAAACCCTGGATCAACCAGCCTTTCAGCCACATCCATGCACTGCCCCAAAGTGAAATCTGTCCAGCAAACACCTGGATTCCACCTGAACGAGCTCTCACCAGACACACTACCGAAGAGCCTACTCCAAGCCCTATCTCTAGACTCTCATGGCCAGTGACACAAAGTTTAAAAAAGGAAATGCAGGTTGCTAACTACAAAGGTGAGTCAGGGTAAAAACAATGGGGTTCAAACACACCAGCTGTTAAATGCAGTCCCACAGTCTTAGATTAACTGAGAGTGGCTGTACTGTGATTAGTGTGATCAGGTTCCTATTTTCCCTACTGAAATCAGGTGACAAATAAGAAAAAAAGACTTCCTTATGTACAAGAATCAAAAACACAATAATCAAACCAAACCCAAACATTCACATTGCCTTATATTTTCCTGAAAACCAAATCTCAGTCTTCAATATAATATTTCACATAGTTCTGCATTGCTCTCATGTATTCATAAACTACAGCAGGAAAGTAGGAGAACCTAAAATTGTACTTATCCCATTTACACCACGATCCCCAGACTCATTTGAGCAAGACTATCAAATCTCCACTGCTCTCTGACACCATGCGCTTTTTTTTTTTCCAATTATGATACAAAAGCTGGAAGTTGAGATCTGCTTCTACGCATCACCAGAAAGAAAAATTTATTAATCTCCATATTAATACATTGTTATGTCATTGTATCTGTCTAAATGGTCACACTCCAGAGATAATACATTACCGAATGGGTATTAGAGGTCCCATCCAGGAGGATAAATACACAGCAGTACAGACAGAGCAGTTAGCCGTCAGTCTCATTAAAAACAAAAAGGAGAAATAACTTGTACACCCAAAGCACCCAGCCTCAAGACAGAGCCAGGTGCTAAACAATCCCAGTTTCATTAAAAAACACTTAAGGAAACAAGTGCTTGGAAGTGAAAATCATTTGGAATTTAGGGAGTGCCAGAAGAGCGGATGGAGGGGTGGACTGACAACATACACAAATAGGATATGTTGAAGAACTGAACCTGAGATCCCTTAGGAAACAGAAAAAAAACCTCTTAAAGTATGAATCAAGATTACATTTGAGCTTTAATATCTGCTTTCTCTTTTCATTTACCAAATAATCAAGCTTAAGTTTGCTAAACCACTGAAAGCTGTTTGAAGTAGAGTTGACCAGAAAAGAGCTGACGCACACAAGGCTCTTAAATGCAGAAGAGCAGAAACTCAACACATACATGTGGACAGCAAGCAAGACACGAGAACTTACTTCCTTAAAGCCACAAATTTATGTCACTTAGATCCACTGACACTCCAGTATGTAACTTTATACCATTGCATCCTTATATGAACTGCAATGCAAAGAAATCCAGAGCAGCAGCACAGCCAGAAGGAAGTTCAACTGAATTTACAAAATGGCCACAAAATCACTTTCAGTATTTGAAAGTTGTATTAACATGACTTTATCAGTATCATTAGTTGTAACTGCAGAGATTCTAAGACTTAAAGGTGACATTTCTGACCAGTATTAACTCCAGAGATTGACCTTTAAAAATCTTTTGTTGAAGTCTGATAGAGGCTACAGCTTGGCAGGTTCTGGAAAAAGCCAATTACTGATAAAATCAGAGACAGTGGATTTGCATTTGTTTTGCAAGAAAAAGAAGCTTAGAACGTCTTTTCTTGATTTAAAAGTTATTATTTATGCACGAATTAATGGTTTTGCAGTAAGAAAAAACTTCTTTTGAATTAAATGGATTGGTTTCACTCATCTTATTTTTGTTTTATTCCAGATGCAATGCGTTCCACACATATCAAACTATTAGTCACTATTTCATAAGGCTACCTCGCATTTTGTTTCCCAGTGCTTTAGAGAGGGAGATACTACCAGCTCATCACTAAACAAACTGAGCCCTAATTAGCAGACTATAATTGGGATGCCAAGACAATAGTTTCTCTGTGCGGATGAGGGCAGCAATGTCTGAGCCCTCCAGGACCAATACACCAGCACCATGAGTGTTCAAAGCATTTGCAAACATGGCTGCTTAGAGCTTATTTTGAAAAAACTAATGACCTGTAAATCAGCTGTTCAATCAATATTGCACATTTCTATCAATCAAACACTAATCTGAGCACAAGCTTCAAGTAAACCCATACTCCTACCACGAACTGCCAAACTGGACTTTGGTCTAAAAAAATTCCAATTTAATTGCGAAGTTTATTCCCTTAATACTCAAAGGGCATACAACTCCTCTGTGTAACTTACACCACTCGTAATGCCTTTCTTAGTTATTTACGAAGGTGCTTGGCAGCCTGCTGCCCACATTCCGCTCCCTCAGAAAAGCGGCTGAAGTGCCGGAAGCATTGCCAGATTACAGGAAGATTGCATCAACCACAAGTGAAGCAATGCATGCTCAGGGCAGGAGAACTTTCTTATCTCAGAATCGCAAACTCTCCCTGCACACATTGGAGTGAAATTTTACTTCTACAGGCAACAAAAGGTTTCTTTTAAGCAAACCCACAGACCTGACCAAGCCCACGGGGCCAAAATACTTGCAAGCACTTGCGTCCCTTGGCCAAGGTTAACCTGCTCCACCAGGCCCTCGGCGTCATCTCAGCTGCCTCACAGCAGCCTCACCTTTCAGGAAAGACCTCAGCTCCCACCTCATGTTCCACCAAGAAGAATCACTGAATTGTAACGGACCTCTAGAGATCATTGAGTCCAAAACCCTGCTGAAGCAAGCTCCCTACAGTGAGCCACACAGGAAAGCAAGGAAAGTGCTCAGATGGCTTTTGAAATCTCCAGAAAAGGATGCTCCACAACCTCTCCAGGCAGTCTGTGTAAGTGCTCTGTCACCCTCACAACAAAGAAGTTTTTTTCCACGTTTGCATAAAACTTCCTACATCACAATCTGTACCCACTCTCCTGTCTCTGGACATCACTGAAAAGAGCCTGGCTGCATCCACTTGACTCTAGCCCTTTAGATATTTTTAAGTGTTGATAAGATCCCTTCCTGGTCTCCTCCAGGATGTGCCCCAGGTCACAGCCTTTCCTCATAAGGGAAACACTCCAGGCCCACAGTCACCTCTGCAACCCTCTGCTGGACACTCTTTCTTGCATTAGGGAGCCCAGAACTGGACACAGCACTCCAGCTGCAGCCTCAGCAAGGCAGAGCAGAGGGGGGGGTCACCTCCCTTAACCTGCTGACCATACTCTCCTTAATGCACTCCAGGAAACCATTGGTCTTCTTGACCACAACATCATACTGGTGGCTCATGGCCAACCTGCTGTGTAGCAGAACACCCAAGTCCTTCTACACAGAGCCCTAGAGAAGGACGTTCCTAAACACTGCATCACACAAGGAGACACCAGGTGATCTCAAGACCTGCCACTCATCCAGGGAATAAGCAGGTTAACTACATCTGCCTCCTTCTCCTTCCCTGCTATGTAGGCTACCACATAGCAATGCTGCCTTCCTCACGCTAAAGAAGAAGAAAAACACAAAAACAAAACAAGCCCCCCCCCCCCCCCCCCCCAAATAAATAATAATAATTAAAAAAAAAAGCACCACCAAACGACCCCACCACCCTTAATAAGCAGCGCACCCCCCAGCGCTCTCTTTTTAGCCGGGGCGGTGCCGCCGCTCTGCCATTCTATTGGACGCTCGTGTTGTCAATCACTGCAAAAGAGGGGGCCGCCAGCACGCCGGCCCTCGCGGGAGCCCCCTTCTGGTGGCGGCGTTCCTTCCTCACCTCCCTCCCTTCCTCCCTCCCGCCCGCGGGGTTTGGCCCCGGCCGTGTACCCGGAGCGCGGGGCGGGCGGCGGGAGGGGCGAACCGAAATAGCCGGGTGAGGCCGGGTGACGCCGCGCGGCCCTGCGTGCGCGCCGGGACGGGTCCGCGTCGTTCGCTGTCCGTCCCCACGGGCCGCGTCGGATGGGGTGAGGCGCCCGGCGCGGGGGACGGCGACGCGGCCATGGCCAGCGGCTGCCCCTGGGAGCGGACGGTGGCGGCGGGAGAGGAGGAGGCGCTGAGGAAGCTGCTCGTCCGGCTCCGCAACGTTCAGGAGAGGAAACGGCCGGAGACTCTGGCGCAGACGCTGAGCGACATGCTGGAGCTGGCGACCCGACAGAGCGGTAAGGGGCGGCCGCTGCCCTCCCGCCCTCCCGGCCCCGCTCCGCCGGGCCCTAACGCAGCTCTCCGTGTCCCCGCAGCTCCGCGGCTGTTCGGCGGCTGCAACGCCCACGTGCCCCTGCTGCTGGTGCTCGACCTGTACGCGGGAGCGGCCGGCGTGCAGCAGGTAATGGAACGCTCCTCCCCGACACCGCGCGCGAGCGGTCCGCGGGTCTGTGGGCTCTTTACGGGCTTATCGTGGAGTCAGCGAATGGTTTGGCTTGGAGGGGACCTTAAAGCCCACCAGCCCCAACCCCTACCGTGGGCTGCACCAGCTCAGGCTGCCCAGGGCCTCATCCATCCCGGCCCTGAGCGCCTGCAGGGATGGGGCACCCACAGCTGTGGCAACTGTGCCAGAGCCTCACAGCCCTCTGAGTAAAATATTTCTTCCTAACATCTAATTTGCGTCTCCCATCGTTGAATTTAAAGCTGCTTCTCCTTGTCCCTCGTGTAGAAAGTTGCTCCTCTTCCTGTTGATAAGCCCCCCTTAAGTACTGGAAGGCTGCAGTGAGGTCTCCCCAGAGCCATGTCCAGGTTGAACAGCCCCAGCTCTGTCAGCCAATCTTCATAGGAGGGGTGCTCTGATCATCTTCATGGCCTTCTGGACCAACTCCAACAGCTCCACATCCTTCCTGTGCTGGGAGTTCCAGGCCTGGACACAGAACTCCAGATGGGGCCTCGGAAGGGCAGAGCAGAGAGACAAAATCAGCTCCTTCTGCCTGCTGGCTACCCCTCTTCTGATGCAGTTCGGGATACAGTTGACCTTCTGCACTGAAAGAGCACACAAGTGCTTCTGGGCTCTTCACGCTCTTCTGCACACCTGACAGTCTTCTGAGCTATCAGAAGTGCCTTCCAGTGTATTTCTGATGTGTCAATATTTTACCATAGTGACAGAGACTTCTAGCAGAATGGCTTAAGGTACATTTCTGCCCCTGTGGCCCAATCCTTTGACAGTCATACAGCTGGTTTGTAGGGGGAACATGCCCTGTACCTCGGAGGAGCATCTGCAGCTGAAGGTTCTGCTTGGCTGCTCCTACAAATGTCCCATGTAAACAAGGGGTAGCACTTGACCGGCTCAGTGCTGAGCTCACAGTGCTGCTGCTGGGCCATGGAGAGCCCCTTCTTGGCAGGCATGTATTGAGTTCCTGACAATGCTGTGCCCAAAGAACGTTTACAAACTCCAGATGTGTGCAACTCACTCTCTTTGTGTATTAAGTACATTGGTATGGTTATAAGATTTCTGGCATCCTCTACTTGTTCCCAATTCATAAAACAAATCATGCTGCATATGCCTCTTAAATAATACTGTAGTGTAAGGTTTTTTTTTTTAACTTCATAGACCTTAGCTAGTGATGAGAACATATAATTCAGATTAAAATATGAAAGGTTCTTCTAAAGACTGAGTGCTTGTGCAGAGTCTGAGATTTTAATTTGTTTTACTGTAGAATTGTCAGGTTGCTAGGAAATAAAGATAAAGCAGTAATTTTTTTTCAGGATGAAGCATATTAGATATGTCACAATTCACAAAACCACTGCTGAGGAGTTCAAGCAGGGAAGTGAAAAACACGAGATTGAAGCACAGCCAGAAGCAGGTCTGAGAGGGCTGCATGAGGCTCTTAAGAATTCCATTACAAGGCAGCGATCACTTAGTTTTCATTTTAATAGTGGTATAAATCTCAACTTAAATTAGATGTAATGCAGAACTTTGAAGTGACTTCTTTGCATTACTACATTGTACTCAGGCATCAAAACAAAGCTCAAAGGCAGTGCAAAGCTCCAATCTGCACAAAATGCCGTGAGCAGCTCTTCCTTCACATTCTGTTATAGTATTTGCAAACACCTGCAGTGTCTCAGCAGAGTGCTGCCCTCCTTGCTGCATCCATTGCAGCTCATTGCGACCTTTGTGAATACAAAATCTTATGGCAGCAGTGAGATGACATGGCCCTGATTTCGGTGTAGTCTCTTCATACTGCTAATGAATTTTCACTGAATAAGTTGATTGAATCTTTTTTTGCTTTTGGCATTATAATAAAACTGACTCTCATAATAGAGTAAGTGACAGCCATATCTGAAATGAGGATTTTCTTTCCCATCCTGTGCTCACCTAGTTGCAAATCATTGTATGCTGTTGCTGTTCCACCAGCTTATACAGAGTAAGTTTGCTTAACAGCTCAGTATTTCAGGTACCAGTGCAAGTCAGGCTATGGGCATAAACCTTACGGGCTGCTTTATAAATAGAAAGACTGAGCTGTAAGGTCAATACCACTGTGAAGTAAAGTAGACATCTTCTCAGGGAACATGGCAGTTTGTTCGTTCAGTTACTGGCTGACACTAACTGGAGTGGGTTAGAAACTGTGGAGCAAAATTTGTGTGCACTTGAGGAAAGAGCAGTCAGCAGAGCCTTATTGTGTCACATAGAAAGGTGTGAGCTAATGTCATATAAATTCATTGCATGCTAGAAATGAAAAAGACTTGATTTAAAAATAACAGTTTCATTGCTGCTGTCAGCTGTCTGTACGTGTCGTGGCGACTCAGATGTTTTTAGGAATATCTTTGTGTTTTGTGCTTTTTTCCTTTCCCTTTAGAGTTTCTGTTATTTAAAAGATCCTTACTTGCTTATGTAACTGTAAATTGATAATAAGCTCTTTGTTATTTCAGGCTGTGATGTTAATATTGTAAAACTGATCTCATATCAGCAGTCACATGTTTGCTTCTGACTTCCCTGGCTCCACAGTCCTTACAAATGTTTGGCACACTTGGAGTCACAATAATCCAAGTAAAAATGGTAGATAGAAATATCAATATCAGAGCCCATTTTAGTACAAAAATTACTTCTGTAAAATCATTGTGCTGATTTTCATTGGTTTCTAAACTTAGCAATTACTATGGGAGAAAGTGGCACTTCAAAATCTTTTCAAAATAATACACAGGGTATCAATTAATGGTCACCTCTGCAGTGTATTTGCCTTGCAGCTTTGATATTTGTTGCTTTGGACATGGAAAATTAGACGGTAACCTTATACTGGGGAGCTTTGCTGGTCTATATGTATTCAAAATTTGATTGAATCTGTCACACAGCCTAGACTAATTGTTCTGACTGTCCATATTAATTGGTTTCTACTTTAACATGGAGCAAGTCAGCTAGCTGTCTAAGCAAGGGGAGAGCATGGAAACTGGCTCATGGTTAAGCTCAGACTGCAAGTTTCAGCTGAAGAGTTAAATTGGCTTAAAATATTTGGCTCTGCAAATCTACGCTACAACAAAAGCTAAGCTTCTGCAGACAGTGTGAACGTAGTGCCTGTGACCCTATGAAGTGAAAGAACAGAATTCTTTTTCCCCGGAAGCCACATCACCTTTTCCATAGACTTGCCAAAGCTGTCACGAAAGCTGCCAAGTTTCTAGTCTGTGCTGCTCGTGTCTCTCGTCTTTCATGCTGCAGGTTAGAGATCACAGAATCTCTATGAACTCTGCAGTTATGCAGTTACACTCCATGGAAAAGGCTGCTTACTTTCCTGGTTTTGGTAGCTGTCTTGTCTTGACCCCTTTGCATTATAGAACTCTTCTGCTGAAATCTGGTTTAATTGTGCTTATTGTTTTTGAGCTATACCTAGATTATGGAATCACAGAATGGCTTGGATTGGAAAGGACCCCAAGGATCATCATGTTCCAACCCCCCTGCCACAGGGAGGGTTATCTTCTGTTTTAACCCTATTGATACAGCACACAGTTCTACTTCCACTTTTTGTTCTTCTCCTTTTTGTTTAATATGCTCAGGTACTTTTATGCTTTTGTTTTCATTTCTATTTGTAAAATCCATTATATCTTGAATTTCTGACCTTTTCCAGCTCTCTTCCTCTCTTTAGTACAACGGGGTTTTCTTGTTCATCAGCTAATTTTTTTTTCCATGGGTTTTGCTCAGTGCCATCATCCACATGTTTGGTTTTATCAGCCTGAAGGCCGATACGCCCAGCATGCTGTCATAATGATAAAGACCATTGTTCCAGTATCAGGGAACAGGGAACATGAACGACCAAAGAGGAGCATTTTTTTCAGTTTGTTTATCTTGTTTATTTTCAGCTTTATTTTCAGATATTTGAAAGTCAAGGCACTTGACATAGAGATTTCAAAAACAAATACATCCTTTCTCCCTATCAATTGCAATTAAGCATCAAATTCTTATGATGAGTGCTGAGCTTCAGTGAAGTTGGAATAGCTGTAATAGTCCAGTGGTCTTTAGTGGTCTGTGATGGAATACTGTGGATCTCCTACCTTTTTTTTCCTCTCTCAAAATCCCTTATGTGTGTGTTCTCTAGCCTCAAGCAGTGGAAGGTTGTATGTTGCTACTAGTGGTGCACTCAGAATCATTAGCATATGTTTTACTTTCAGCTCTTCGCTCTTTATGTCCTTTGTCTTGTGTTAATTAATTATCTCTCATTTAGCTAGGTATCTTTTCAGAACATGTATCTTCTGAAAGCCACGGTATTAAAACATAACACTTAGGTTCCAAATGGACTATCTGTTCTACAATAGCTGTATTTTTATTTTACAGATGGGTTGGTCACTTCTTTGCAAGTTGATTGAAATTTGTCCAAGCACTCTGCAGAACATAGCTCTTAAGGATGTTGGGAAGGACTGGGAAGTACTGGGTGTTCACCAGTAAGTATGTTGTATGCAAAGAGTCTTTCAAAATGTTTTATATCATGGCATACATATGCAATAAAATGCATTTATGTAAAGTTATTATATCAGCTTCTACATAAATATTTTTATGGATTTCTTCAGGTTTTACAATAAAAGATTCACACAAGCAGAGGTCTTATCTGTGTGTATAAATTCCTGATGGGGAGAATAAAGAAAACTGAGCCAGGCTCCTCTCTGGGATTGCTTAGTGATAGGACAAGAAGCATTAGGCACAAATTGAAATGGAGAAAATTCCTCTTAAACATGAAAAAAACCAATCAGTTGTATTTTAATAGTTTGAGATTGATCAAAGAATGGAACGGGTTGGCTAGAGAGGCTGTGAAGTCCTAAGCCTTGGAGATATTCAGAACCAGACTGTCCATAGCTGTGAACAATCAGCTGTAATTGACCCTGGGCTGGGGAGGGGAGCTGAATTAAGAGATCTTCTGAGCTCCTTGCCAATTACAGTGATTCTGGGATGCTGTGGCTGTGAAGATGTTTTATTTTAACAGACAGTATCACCTGGACAGTTCTGTGTATGTGTTATTCACAAATATGATGCATTGTTATCCACAAGTCTCAATTGGCATAAATCAAGACGTTGTTTCTCACACCTGATCGTAGTTGTCTGAAAACAAAGTATTTAAAGTAGTCACCTCAACTACCTGTGAAGTCAGAGGACACAGCTACTTTCAGAAGGTGATTCTTTCCATCGTTGCAGTAAGTAATGCTGAAGCAAGGCATGCTTGGATTTGAACATGCCCATATCTCTCCATTGGCTCTTGAGGGAGCCTAACCAAAAGTGGCTGTGTTTAGATGGGATGAAGACTGACAAAGGTTAACTGAAGTTGTTCCATGACAAATGCTAGTTGCAGATGCAAGTATAATATACAAATGGAAGAGAAGGGCTTGCTTTGGTGCTCTCTCACTTTGACAGGTTGCCTCATTCAAGGCAGATAATGACAGCAAGGAGCTACAGCCCTATGACACCACTAGTAGATCTTTCTCTGCTTTTACAGTCTTCACCATACCCTTCCTTAGAAAGGCTGCTACTGTTACGTTACTTGCATGAAGTTGTGGTATGTCTGTTGTGGTTTGTTTTTTTTAATGGTGGCTAGAGTACAGAGTCAGCAGGGGCATGAACTGCCTTGTTTTTGTTGGAAAGCACAAGTGATTTTTTGTTGCTTTTCATGAACAATAACTGAGGTGAAGCTGTACCAGCTAGTTACGATTTCTTTGGCATGCTTGTTAATTAACTTATTCTGGAAGGTACAGTAACTCTAAAGATAGTGTTTATTCTTTGGTCCCCAGAAAATTACTCCGTTTTTGAGCTGGTATTTTGCAGTCTCCTGTTGCGGGTTATACACTCACACCTGTTGTGAGATAAGCAACACATAGCCACCCATTTGCTCCCTCCAGTGGGACTGCAAAGAGAATCAGAGGGGCAAAAGTGAGAAAACTCATCATTTGACATAAAGGCATTGCAATAAGTAAAAGAGTGAAAATCAACAAAACAAAGCAAGTGGCATAAAAGCAATAATTTGCCACTGGTCCACCAATGTCCAGCCAGTCCCCAAGCAACAGCAACCCTTGGCAAACTTCTCCCAGTTTTATTGCTGAACATGACATTACATGGTGTGAAATATCTCTTTGGTCAGTTCAGGAGAGCTGTCGTGGCTGCATTTCCTCCCAGTGTATTGCCCACAGCTGATTATGGAGCAAGGAGGTAAAGAAATCTTCATGCTACAGTTTCTACATGACTATGCATGTATGCTCACACCTGCAAATAGACAACAGAGTGCATTAGGAATGCCTGAGACTACAACATTTTAATCAGCAGGTTAAGGAACCACATTTATGGGTGTTAGTTACTCTACCAGCTTGGTTAGGGTGGCTCCTTGTTTTTGTGATTCATCACCCAGATACTCAGTCCATCCTCTTGGGCTGTACGCTTGGCCAAGAATTTGCCTCAGGACTGAAATGCCAGTATCCAAAGAGTGCATACAGGAACTTCAGGGAGGAATCTATTCTGAGTTTGAAGTGGGGGGGGAGGGAGGGAGGGGAAGGGAAGCATCTGCATTTAGTTGGATTTTATTTTCTATTCTTAAGATAATCCACACACAATATTTTTTCTAGCTCTCTTCTGTGTACTGTGATCATCACAGCTGTTATAGTAGTGCTCCAGAAGAGGAGAGATTTATGCTAGCAGCATCATAGTACATCAAGAAAATAAATAAAACTTTTAATAAAAAATAAATTTTAAACATTAAGAAATAAATACAAAGAGGAAATATAATCATCCTAGCTTGTAAGTACAGGCATTAACAAAGCACACAACATCATCATTATTCAATGTGTGGCCCGCTGCCTTGTTTTGGATACCCTATCTGAAAACTGGCCTATTCATTTCTTCTTGGCTTTTCTTTGCATTCATCACTATTGCCTAGAGCTTTACAATCTTTTTGGGAGGAGTTGTTACAGATTTGAGGTCACCATCTAGTAAATGATGCTAGAAACATCAACTGATTTTTAGGTGCCTAATGTGATGCGTGCTTTGGATTTTTCAGAGTAACTACCATTGCTTGACTTTCTTAGTGTTTAAGAATTCAACTTCTTTTGACTCTACTTGCAACATTTCAGAGGTTAATATCCACAGATTTTGTATCTGTGGAAGTTGACTCACCTGGAAAGGAGAGAGTGTGCAATTGTCAGTCTGTGAAACACTTGGTAGTGATTTGTCCAGCATCACATAAGTGCTGTACAACAGAACCTTAGGGTAGAATTCTCCATGATGCTGTTCAAATTCTTTAGCTGAGTAATTGCTTTTTCTCTTCCAGAAAATCCTTCATAATTCACTGTAACTTCATCCTTTCAACAAACAGAACACTGCCATACTATCACTGGAACAGGTTGCCCAAGGAGGCTGTGGATGCCCCATCCCTGGAGGCATTCAAGGCCAGGCTGGATGTGGCTCTGGGCAGCCTGATCTGCTGGTTAGCACATAGCAGGGGATTGAAACTAGATGAGCATTGTGGTCCTTTTCAACCCATTCTGTGATTCTATGATTCTATGATCTGCAGCCTGCTGCACACCATGGCCCTGCTTTCTGTAGAATAATTAGAATAATTCTGTTCTGAATAAAACTTGTCTTCTGTAGAATTAATAGAAGTATACACACTTAGTTAAAAATTAAATGGCTTTAAAGACTGCTGCTAATTTCTGTTCTTGTTTGTTCTTTTTTTTTTTTTTAAGTAACTTTGATTTTAAAAAAAGTATGTTTGTATTTCTTTATTTTTAACTCTTCCTTTTTTCTTTTTTCTTTTTTTTTTTTTATTTTTAATTTTTAGGCAGATTCTTAAAATGCTCACAGTCCACAAAGGAAATGTAATTCTCTCAGTAATAGGACTAAAAACATTAAATCTACTCCTGATGTCAGGTATTGTCTGTTAATTTTTCCTACTCTATCTGAGCCTTTAAAACACAGAACTGTGATATAAATTGTGTGACTGTACGCTTTGCCCTGGCTTGTCTGTTTTACTCTCCAAAGTCATTTGTACTCGTATGCAAAGTAATAACTGTACTGTTTTGCACCTTTTTTGAACTAGGTGGAAAGGAATCTTCTAATTGCAAGGCCATGAAGAACATGCCTTGCTATGCTTGTTATTAGCATAGGCATAAATACTTACTGTATAATTAAGTTAAATAAGTAAGAGCTTATTCTTCCTTTGCAAAGTATAAACTTGAAGACAGTCTGACTTGATTTCTTTAGTACTGGTTTGTAGATTTGAAAGGAGTAAAATCATCTCTGCTGTATTTATTATTCTGCTCTCCAGAGACCCAATCTTACCGGATACTGAGACCTTTTTTCTCAGTCCTAAACTGTTGAAATTAAAGAGAGACTGCAAAGGAGGTATTCTGCTAGCTTTATTCATGGTAGCATATAATACTAAATTATTGTTCAAATAGGAATGTTTCCACTGATTTTAGAAAACATTAGAATCAGCCTTGTTTACAGAATAAAGATTAGACTTTATTTTAGGTAGTTAAAGCTCATCTGGCTGTCCAGGTTTCTGCTACAAGCAGCAGAATGAGACAGGCCCATTCAGAAAATGCTGCATGCTATTGATTTATCTATTTTTTAAGATTGTTACCTCATGAACCTGATTTCCTCTTCTTTTAATTACAGACTTAAACTCTCATTCCAACTATCTTAATTCAGAAAAATATTTCAAATTGTACCTTGTCACTTTGTCAGAGAAGACTGCTAGTGTTCATTTTGTCTCTGAGCCCAAAAACTTGAATTGCATTCTAGCTGGAAGTGATTAGCCACAATGGCCAAGAGAGTGCAAATATGATTTCATGATACAGATGGACAAATATCATGGTTCACCCCATTTGCTTTCCTCTGTAAATGTATTCCAGCCCTCTGTATTGCAGCAATTTTATTTGTCAGTGAAATTCTTCAGCTTGAAAGAAGTGTCCTTTTGGATTGGTTGATTTTCCACCAGTTTAGCAAGTTTGACTGGCTCACTGAGAGGTCTGACAAGTGCCAGTGCAAAGTGGGAGCAAGAGTGTAGAGGGGAAACTATCTTTTTTGCCAGTAATGTTTTAGAACACACCAATTGTATTGTAAAATATGGCCTTGAACAAATAACAGCCTCCTCTGTTATACGAAAACCTGGATTTGAGCCATCAGAGTGTAATTTAAGGACAGAATTAAAGACTTTGGGATTTTAATGTTGAGTACAGTTCTTCAGTAAACACATTGAGAATGCATCAGCTCAGCATATGATCTCTTCTATTTAGATGTAATTGCTTTCCTGCTCCTGGAGGAAGAAGTGGATGTGTTTTCCTTGGTATTTAATGCCATGCACACCTTCCCTAAAAATGAAGAGATCCAGCAACATGGGTGTACAGCGTTATGCAAGCTTTTTGAAAAAGGTATTTGTATTTTGTGTGTTATTAAATTGGGAAATGTACAGGTTGGGAAGGGACTGCAGATACTTATTTAACTGGAAAAAAAAAAAGTATTCTTGCATTTCAGATTAAATGTATTAAATGTGTTCCTTGAAAGAGCTAACTAAAAATGCGTTTTCACTGTGTTCCATTACTTACATGATGTCTTGGTGAGGAATGCCTGAACTTTGATCTGTAAAAAAGACTGAAAGGCATTTTTGCAAAATAATCATAGGGAAGCATTTAAAAGTCAGAACTCAGTTACAGAAAATGTAGTCTGGAAAAACTGCTGGTAAAAGGGGCTCGGTTTTTGTAAAAGGAATCTTTATTGAGGAAAATGGAAAGTACAGGTATGGAGAATACCTATGGAACACAAGTTCCACAGAAAATAATTGTAAGGAAACTTTATAAAAACAATTACATTTTCTCATCTTGTATCAGAATATGAATTATTTCCTCAAAACATGCATTCTTTTCCTTTTTAATTTAGTTCCAGAAGAGCAGCTGACTGAATTTGTTGAAAGCAAAGATCATATGATCATATTGGAAGTATTTAAAGAGTTTCCAGAGAAAGAAGAGGTGATTCTTCCTGCACTTTATTCATTACATTCCTTAGCTGGTCCGTGTAAGTGCATTATTGAAAATCATTCTTCCCATATCTTGTATCAGCTCTCCTCAGTGCGTGGTAATCTTTTGGTGACTGTGAATAAAATAAAACTTCCATGTCTCTCTAGAGAAAACCTGATGCTGCAAAAATGGTGACTCATTTTGCCAGAGGGTACAGCATTGCAGTGAGAATTGGTTGGGAGTGGTCAGGCAAATCACATTTCTGTTTTCTATGGGAAATACTGACTTGTAATTTTTAATGAGACTTCTTCCTTTTCAGCCATTCTTGTAGTAATTACATCTCCCATAAAGAATCTTTCTTCTGCTCAGAATAAGTGATAACTAAGATACTTACCATGGTTGTAGGGGTTAAATTTCAAGTTCTCTGCCTTTAAAAAATGATTGAATAATAAGACCCATTTACTGACCAAATATATATTCAGTAAGTTTATGTAGCCTGTAAGGACCATTGCTGGCCGAGTCTATTCCACGGGGGAAGATTTCCCATGCCCTCCAATGCAGGCCAGGGCTGAGAAAATGAGTTTGGCTCAAGCACCCCTTTCTGATCATTCAGTGGTATCTGCAATGAGGAACACGAGTAGCACTGCACACATTATGGAGTCTCATGATGCTTCATACATCCTGTCTATTTGTATAGGAAGCATGCTGGCCCAGAGAATGCCATAAAACAGGAACTAGACTGTAGTTTCCCACATTTCATCAGGCTCTGAGCTGTTTAGTTTCTCATTTACAAGCTTTTAGCTTTTCCAGTTTGTGTTTAAAAATTAAGCATTCCTTAAGCCAGAAATAGTTGTACCTTAACCCAGAAGTTATTTCTGTTTCCTAAGGAAGAGGGTGCCAAATTCTAAGGACTTTTAAAAGAAATAATTACTTAGACAAAGTGTAATAGTTCCAAGAGGAGACCATGACAAAGATTTTGTTCAAGGTAGGTGTTCATTTTAGAGTTAGCACGTTCAATTTTTGATGTGAAGGACTGAAAATAGGGATGTGCATGAATATGCAAAGCAAGGCTACTTAGGCCAGGATTCATACTCTGTACATCCCACATTACATGCACCTTGGAGAAGCCACCTTGGAGAAAATCATTCAGCACACATAGGCTTTGTTCCATCTCATATTTCGTAAAAAATGGAAGGGTGGAAGTTCATCCCAGTGCTGTACAAGAACTCTTTCTAATTTCAGTCATCTTGACTGAATGAGAAAATGCTTTGCTGCCAACTGTCCACCAAAGTCTGTAGGGAAGTGATGTATCACATGAGTTTTGCCATTTAAATGTTACTCATTGATACATCTGTCCAGGCTTCTCCTATATTTAATGAGGAGAAACAGGCACCTCCAGCAGAAATTTTACCTCAGGCTAACAGATGTGCCTGTTATGCCCTGAATTATGGACTGCTCAGATCTCCTCATCAGTTTCTGTGAGATTCTTGATGCTCAAGTTTTGGTTGTTAAGTTTAGATGTTACACATCTCATCTCCTTTTCTCTAGCTGGTGCTGGGAAATGGGGGCTCACTATGTATGTAGCACAGCTTTGATGTTGCAGGATGTAAATATGTGCTTAATTATGCTTAATTATGCTTATTAGTCAGCAATTTTAGAATCTTATGAATACTGTAATATATTTATTATCACCTGTGAATTGATGACTTTTGAAGTGTGCAAAACTTTAAAAGGTATTTTCCAGTTAAGAATGATATTACTAAACCACCATTATATTAAAAGCATTGTGAGAAGTACCTTCCTTCACTAACAGAGTGATTCAGAAATGCTTCTCACCAGAACTTCCTGTTTTGATTTGCAGAAAATCATTATATACAGGAATGCCAAGCTGTTGAAAAGAATATTAAGAAAGTTTGTGGACTTCTGTAGAGCAGATCTGAACTGTCTTGGAGTCAGTGACAGGATTCTCTTTCACTTGTTGGGGCCAGGATTTTGTCCAACATTGTCTAGTGCAAGGATGCTTTCAATTTTTTAATTACTGTTTTTAATTAATGTTATTCTATTTTGTTTATAATTACTAAATGCAAGATTGCTGTCCTCTCTAGAAAAGGATGCATTCCATCACTTTACTGGATGATTTGTCCCACTGATTTCTGTATCTGACCTGCATAATAAACTGTAAATAGGGTGTAAATAGGGTGTAAACTGTAAATAGGTGACTGAGCCCTGGCACATGCTGCCCATAGAGGTTGTGAAATCTCTGTCCTTGGAGATACTCAGAAGCCTTTTGGTCATGGTTCTGGCTCAGGCTGATCCTGCTCCATCAGAGGGGTTGTTCCAGTTGACCTCAGAGGTCCTGTTCAATCTCAACCATCACTGACTCTGTGAAACATAGAATTTGAACTGACTTTCAAAATATCATAGGAACATTAGATGAATATTTCTATGCCCTCAGTATGTAATAGTTATATGGTAGAAGTGATTTGAACCAAATTTAGACTTGGTGACTTTCACTCTAAAAATGAAAGAAAACGAAAGAGGAACAACACGGTTAGAACAAATAAATGACATCTATTAGAAGTGAGAAATCTAAATTGTTTTCAGGCTGCATGCGCCTGGCAATATTTACATAATGCTGTAAAATATGGTAGTGAACTAATATTTTAAAATCTGTTCATCTTTAAGAAAGTATTTACATACTGGCAGTTACTGAGGATGATACATGGCATGGTGTGAAATGGAACTAATCCATAAAAATTAATATGGACTCTGAACTTAATTAATTATTTCCAAGTGTTGGTAGTCATTAATTAATGCTTTCTATGGCAAGACTAAGAAAAAAAATGCCACCCTCTGCTCAAATTGTAAGCAAAAGTTGAAATATGGAATCCATTTTCTAACTCTATTTAATTAAAGTCTCTATTACAACCTAATTACTGTTTTCTTTCTCTTGAAAAGTAATTTTTGTTTCTGTTTCTTTAGCCAGCAATGTTGAAGTGCTCATGTCTGGAAATGTTCGCTGCTACAATGTTATTGTAGAAATGATGAAAAGTTTCTCCAATAGTGAAACTGTCCAGGAAGTGTGTTGCTGCTTGTTGCATAAGCTTACTTTGGGTAAGTTCACAATTTCTTTTTTCTTTTTTTTTTTTTTTTTGGTCAGTTTAGTCTAACTGTGTAAGAATCAGAGTTACTGACGTCTAGTGTTAAAGCCAGCTAGGGCTACGATGCCAGTTAGTCTTCAGGGGTGTATATTGCTCTGTATTTCTAACATCGTGAAAGTGTTGAGGTAACACAGTAGCAGTCAGTATGGAATCTTTGGTGATAAATGTTAGTAACAATGACAGAAGCTGCCGGAAAAGCCTGGAGAAAAGAGTTAGCAGATCAATAGATGTCCCATTCTTTATAACATTATTATAGAATGGAAGAAAAGTCCTTGTAAAAGTATTTTTTGAAGTGGTAGTGCTGGATGTGTGAGAACTTGGTGCTGGTATGCAATGATATGAGAAGCGATCCCCAAGGCTGTGTTTTTCCTCCTGCATTCAAACACTTCTGCTGCATTCATTCCTGCTCGGTTGTGGTGCCTGCCTCAGGGCCCCCTGCCTGCAGCCATGGGACAGGCAGTTTGCTGGGCTTCTCTTGGCTGTGGTCCTTTGTTCATCTCAGCTGACAAGGGCTGGTGTCACATCAAGCAAAATAATAGTAATGTCTAAAAGAGATTTGATATACCTCTTTTCAGCTCTGTGCTATCTCTTGCTGTTGTAGTAAGCTGATCTGAGCAGTTGCTAAGGATTGTGTAATAGGAAGTTCAAATGAAAATAAATATATTTTTCTCTCTACTGTTTTAAAAAAGACTGTGAGTAGCATCTGGAGTAGCCTATGCTGCATGGCAGGTTCCTCATCACTCAGCCAAGGTCTTTCTCATGAGTTAGACTTCCCATTTCTTGCAGGTGGTGGCCTGAAGCCGGTACCACTGCACAGATCCCGTAATCAAATCAATCTCATCCTGTCACCATCTGTTTCCTCTCCTTCATGCAGATATTGTACAGAATACAGATCAAACTTGACTGCAAACCAGAGCAACTTGCACTTCCCCTCCAGAAAGCCAAATAAACATTTAAAGAAAGTGTGATGGCTTCTGAGGTGGTATTTGCAGCTCTTGGGCAAGAGGTGATGTTACCCCTGAGCAGCTTCCTGTGCAAGGCCAACTGAATGGTAACATTTGTGAGGACACAGCAACTCTGTTGACATGCTGTGATCCTGCCCTATGTGCAACCAACCTGATTTCATGCATTTGTCACGAGTGTTTATTGACTATCAAGTAATAGTGACAATTAAACAGCCACAAGATCTGTTACTTCTTCTTTCAGCTTAACAGATGCCTTTCCTCTTGATAAAGTGCCACTGTGGGAGGGATATGGGAAGAGGTGTCCACAGCAGCAGACAGTGAGGGAAACAAGTATGAAGTTTCTAGGTTGTCCTTCCTGCCAAGCACATGAGACTGGTAAAGAGGTGGGGTTAGGTTTTCTTGTGTGTAATTCCATCTCTGAAGCTCAAATACAGGTATTTCTTAAGTACTTGAGAAACATTGATACAGATTTGAATTTCACCTTTCATGCTGCTAATGTGATTCTCATTGTTATGAACTATAGTTAAAATTAAATATCAAAATAGAAACCGTAGCTATTGATCTGTGTTCCACCACGTGAGTTTGTTGCTATATTATGCATGATATTTGTTTTCACAGTAAATTGAGAAGTTATTTTATTTTTCTTGCTTTCGTTTGTGGAATTCCTTATATTCAACATACAATATGTGCCGTACAGCTTATGATAAAATCTGTGCTTTAAATGCATTAATCATTAAAGGCTAGTTCTTTCTACTGTTCCACAATGTATGTGTTCTGGATTTACAAAGGTACTTTTGATCTATTTTATGAGGACAAAATCAGAAGGCGAAACAGGGTTAAAACAGTCTCTTGGCAGGATAAATCAAATCATTGCAGGAATTCAGCACCACTATTGCTTTTGCTTCCTGGCAGGAAGTCTGCAAATGATACACAGACTGTATCCTTCTTATTTTGCTGACAGCATATATATCATTTTGCATTAAACCTCATTCTTTTTATTAAAAAAAACCAAAAAACATCACAAAGAACTTGGATTCCAGTTGCTGTCTTTTTCTTTCTCTTGTTCTTTCCTCATATAAAATAATGTTATGTGAATACCCCTAAAAATAAATCAAATGTTTGCTACACACAGTTTTTGCATTAGGTGTTGAGAAATTTATGCTGAATGTGTGTAAAACTAGGTATGTGTTTATGTTCACTTAATATCTTAATCTATTTTCAGGAAACTTTTTCAATATCCTTGTGTTACATAAGGTTCCAGAAGTCATTGTGAAGGCTGTGAAAACGTATTCTGAAAATGCAAAGTTACAGGCTGCAGCTCTCAGTTGTTTAGCTCTTCTCAGTGAGTAAATTCATTTCTAAATACATCAATATGTTACTTAATTAGGAAATTGGGAGATCAGTGTTTTAATATTTAATATTTAATTTCCTGTTGTTCTTAGTTCCATTTCTTTAACGTGAAAGCCTCAAATAAGATAGCTTTGATTTTCTGCATGCTTAGTTAAGGTTTGTTTTGTTAATGTGATAGTATGACATTCTTGTGTTCATGCCATATTGCTGAATGTTCAGAGCTGGAAAGTCATGCTGAGAGATCCTAACAGGGCAACCTACTTGTTTTCATAGGCAAATGTTGGATAATTCCTCCTTAATAAAAAAGTTCTGGAAACAACAATGCTAATTTGATGCCATGTTTGCCATGTACAGCAGTGCTCACATTGTGCCAGTTGACTGCAGCACTAGATCAGAGCTTGTACTTGAGTTCTGACATCAATTAAAATGCTTAACCTCTTCCTTGAGTACACCTCAGTTGCTATTTTTAAACAGAAGTTAGTCAGCCAGTGGCAAAAAGCTGATCCTCTTACTCTTTGAGATATACAGAAGTCACTAGAAATGCTGTGTAGCAATCCTCAAGAAAGCAAATGTGAGAAATCATCACACACTCCAGTAAGCTTCAAATAATATAGTCAGCATTGATACATTTTTTTCTTAAATGCTGAAAATCACAGGCATAAGATGATTTATGTTACATTAATTTGCACTTTGTGGGACCAAATATTTCTCTGAGCAGCTTCAGTTTGTGTTTTTAAATGGTTTCACTCTTCAGAGTGAAGATGGCTCTGTGATAGGTGGTTACATGCAGATGAACCACAGTTACATTATGTGTGTGTTGTTCTGTATGTAAATACATAATATAGCATAGCATGTATGTGCAGGTCTTTTCAGAACCTCAGCCTCGACTGATATGTAATTACCTACTTACAGATACACTAAAGTACTATGTAAGAAAATGTTTGATTCCCATTATAGCCCTTTTTCAATTAGATATTTTTCAATTCTGTCACAGAACTTGTGTCAAAAGATTTCCCCTTCCCTAGGAAACATTAATCCTCCACCTGACTTTCCCACATAGATAATGTGAGTAGCTCTATAACTACAGGAAGGTTAAGACGTAAATGTTTTGTCTTTACATTAAGAATTGATTGCAAATATCTTGTATTTCAAGCTGAAACAATATTCTTAAACCGAGACTTAGAGGAAAGAAAAGAAGAGGAGGAGGAAGAAAAATTATGCTGGTTGGAAGCATGTTACAGAGCATTAGAACTGCACCGGAAAAATACAGATGTACTGGTGAGAACTTCTGAACAGCAAGGCTGTGGAAAGGCTGCATTACTCATTGAATGAAATGTTTAGGAACAAAATTATCTCCCCTATGTCCTCAAACAAACAAAGCCTCAGAGTCTGGATCAGCTTATAGGAAAAAATCTTTCTGTTTTTGCCATTCTTTCCTTTGTTCACCTGAACCAGTTTCATTCAGTCTTTGGATCAAATGTGGTTAGGTGGTTAAGAATTACCACCTGGAACCTTGGTCATACAAAAACTTGTTGGCAGCAAAACACAGACCCATCGAAAGAAGACTTAATGCTGGTCTAAAATGAATCTCAAAATAAAAATCAAATAATGAGAGTGTGGCACGTGCTTGTAACTCCGGCCTACGCCAACTGGCAAGGAATGTGCCAGTCAGTACTTCATTGTGTTTGCACATAAAGCCACTTGTATCTTTTCACAGAATCATAGAATAGTGTGGGATCATCTACTTCCAGCACCCCTGCTGTAGGCGTAGAGTGAAAAACACTCCACCTATTTGGAGATTTTTAGATTTTATTTTGTTATCCTTAAGATGTATCTCTTTAATCTTTTTGTCTCCTCTTGTTTTATTTAGGAGGCTGCATGCTGGGCTTTGAAAAATCTGTTTCTATATCAACGCAGTCTTCATGAGAAGATTGGAGATGGAGATAATCAGTCAGTGTTAATACCTTTAACTTTATTTCTTTTATGAAGAAATGTTTCTAATGTTGTCTAAATGTTTCTAATTATGTCTCATGTTTCTAATTATTTTTATTTTTCCTTCTTGTTTTATAATGCATGACAAAATGCATGGCAATCAACATGGAAAATTTATTTATCGTAAAGTATGATAACCTCTACTCAAGCCAAATTGCTAGTGTTTTAATAAAGAATCAGAACACAGTCTAATAGAACTGATTTGTACAGTTCACAGGAAACTTCTTCAGTGCAGCAAGAATAGGGAGTATTAAAAATGTAGGAGTGGGAAAAATAGAGAAGATTAGGATGTGAGTATGGAAAAGCAGTGTGTGTTCTCCCACAAGTTAGATGAAAGGGCATGGTAGGGAGAGTGCTACTCATCAGGGAGAATCTAGGCATGCATAAGACAAACTTTCATTTCACTTATACTTTTTCTCAGAGTTTCTGCTAATATCAATCATTCCAAATTTGATTAGCCTGTTCTTTCACTCCTTTTTGCACCTGAAGTCGCTTGGAAGTAACTGCTGTAATATGGTCAATGTATGTTGATTTATTTTTCTGTGAAAGGTTCCCCATAGATAGAGCGGTGATGCTGTCCATGCTGATGCACTCCTCTTCCAAAGAAGTGTTTCAGGCAGCAGCTAGTACCTTGGCAATTTTGTCACAACAGAATGGTAAGAGAATTTAACTATCTTCACTTCCTAATTCCACATGAAAGTATTACTTTTATTTTAATAATAATTACATTATTATTATAGTACTGAAGAGTGTTTAAAGTGTGCTATTGTTTGAATACAGTGTTCAAATTGATTAGAATATTATTTTGTGTTTTTGTGTAACTTCTTGTTGTGTTCAGTAGGAAATTTATTTCTTGTTTTGGAAAAGTTGCTCTTAGCTAGTATTGAGGAGTCTGTGTGGAAGTAAAGAGGTCTCTTTAATTCTTGGCATTGTATCAGTAGGGAAGAGAGGCCTGAAGGGGGAAAAAAACGTAGATCTCATGCTGCTTTACACGTGTTCACCATGAACACTTGGGGATTTGAAATGAGCTATCAAGTCTCAGTAAATGACCAAAAAGCTCTGTCTTTTTTCTTTGGGTGGGTTATCTGCACTGGGGAGTTCTGTGCCACCCCAAGCAGCAATTGTGTTGCCATTGCAGAAGATATGGAGAGGCTCACCTCTTTATATGCTTGTTTAAGTCTCTATCGTGTTTGAATTTCACCAAGAGCAGTACTTTTTGAAACTCACACCAGCAACAATTACTGACAAATTCTATTTTCTTGCTTAATACAGGGGATTTGAGCAGTCCTGTTGACTGCAGGGAATCGAATCGTGTAGAAACCTAAGCATATACATAACAGTTTTCAAGATTGTTTCAGTCCTGATTATGTCCCCTAACTTGGTTTCCTAACTTTTTTCAATTTGCAGACCCCCTCAAAATTTTTCAGTGGAGATGTGGACCTCTGGGTAGAATATTTAAGCCTACTGACAGTTGGCCTTTTGTTAGATACCTTTCCCAGAATCCATTGACATGGTTATGGACCTCAAGTGGTTTGTAGACTGCACATTGATAACCACTGGCTAGATAGGAAGATAAACATTAACAGTTAATTACATTCTTTAGGTGAGAAAGCATTGTTTTATTGCTGGGTTTCTGAGCCACCCAATATATCAATGTAACAGTGAAGAGTTTTTATTTGTTACAAAAGTATGTATCTACAGGGAGAAATCTCATAAATGTAACATACTGTTATGTATTAGATCAGGTACTTTCATAATGGGTTACTTAAAAGTAGGCCTCTGGTTCCTGATTCCAATTAGAAATCCACAGCCAGTTTTCATGTTGTCTTTCTTTCTCCTTCCTTTTCCCCCCCCCCAAATTAAGGTGTTTGCACCAGAAAAGATAGACATAAAGAAGCGTAGTAAAAGCCTATGATACAATGTAATATTGCATTAACTAGCCATCTGAAATGGATGCATGGATCTGGGAATGACAAGAATTGGTGATAATTGCCATGATAATAAGGAAAGTTTTTATAATATTCCCATCTGTAGTGGCTACAGTTATAGCTACAGCTTGTGCTTGGGTATTTGGATAATAAATGATGTGTTAAAAAAGTAATTGGAGTGGGTTAATATTTCATTTTTTAAGTCTTACCTTGAAAGTTAGAAGCTTTTTTGGAAGTTTTACTTCTAGATTTCCTGCTGGATCACAGAGTACAATTCAGAGAAAAAATTCTTTAAGAATAAACATCTTAGAAATAAAAGTAAAAAGTAAATAAAAGTAAAGAAATATATTTTCCTTCCTTTAAGTTAACGTTATGCAAGTAAAGATAGCAGATGTATTTAAACTGATTAGTCACCCTCAGGGCTTGTAATGTTTTTGATTAAGATATGCAAATTGAATTTGGCTTCAGCTTGAATCGTTTCCCATTTTGACTGACAGTTCTATAGCATGTATGATTTTGAGGAAGAAAATCAAAAAGGAAAAAAGTTAGGAGTTCTGTTGTTTTTGAGATCTCTACAGAGAGAGAGTGAGATGCTTGCTTATGTGAGGCTTGCTGTTTTGTGTTGTAGTAAATATTAGGAAGACACTTTTGGCCAAAGGAATACACATGAATGTTCTGGAGATAATGAGGAAACACCCACATGCTCCCGAAGTGGCTGAAAGTGCCTGCAGAATTCTGAATCACGTTTTTGAAGGAAGGTAATGTACTGAGAAATAACTTCCAAAGTGAAGGTCTGCTCCAAACAGATGCACTGCTGGAATTGATTGCATTTTAATTTATCGCCTGTTTCATAGATGTTAGAATTGACTAGGCTGACACTGAGTCACATCCAGCCTCTATTGTTAGCCACACTAAATTCCCTTGATAGCTAAGAACATTTCCATAATATTAACTCCATTTAATAAAAAAATTGTGATAATGTTTCTTTTGTATTGGCTTTTGCAAATGCTCTAGAACATGAGTGCAAAACAAACCTGTGACTCAGAAATATTAGTGTAGGGTGGAAACGTGATTCCATTCCAAGTGTCTTGCCAAGTTTTTCCAGCCTTCTCCAAAACCTATATATATGCTAAGCTGTCAGTGAAAAAATGACAGACTCCATATATATTCATAGAGCTTTTTACAAATAATTTGATTTTATAAGGAAGAAAATTTCAAAACTTCCGTAATCATGTTTGTAGGAATAAAATGCTTTGTAAAGTAAAGGAAGAAAAATTACCTTAGAAGTGAATTATTGGCTTTTGGCCACAACGACTTTTTTTCTTCAAAATTTGAGCCTAAATGATTGATATTTTTCTGTTTATTCTGCACATATCTGGCAAATCATCAGTATTTTATGGCAACTGGAGAGCAGTAAGTTAGGGAAGATGTATCTTCTCACATAGAATCCAAGTGAAATATGTAAATCCACCATTCACCCTGAATGAAGTACTATACTCTCTGTGTATCAATATTCTGGACTGAATTGAAAATTACCTCTCTGTTGTCTCAAACTGAATTAATTACATACTCTGCATTCATGTAATGGCATGAAAATAACATATTAATTATGCAGCTAAAACATACAGTGTTCAAAAGGAATATCACACAGTGATCAACATTTAAGAGAAAGAAGCAAATGTATGTACAACTTAGAAATGCAGTATTCTTATTCATGTTAAAAATAACATTTTCAGTTTCCCTCATTTGGATATAATGACAGTAGCTGCATCTGAAGTTGTAAAAGCCATGAGAAAACATGAGAAATCACTCTCTGTACAACTGGAAGCACTTCGAGTCCTTTTACACTTTATGATGCCTGGTAAGTTGTCTAAAACATAATCAGTGTGGCATCATACACCACATTGGACAATTTAATTAGATAGCTGGGTTTTAATCTTTCTCATCTTATGTGACAGCCTTTACCAAAAAACCACCGAAGTTGCATGTTTAACAGAGCAGCTCTAAATCTTTATTTTTCAAGATAAAATCATAGAAAGCAACAGGCCAAAATTATCACTGCTGATATCTCTTTGATTTCATCAGTGATGGTTTAGCTCTGCTGTAAAGAATGAAGGGAATGACTGTGGAGCCATTGCTGTGGTTGAATACTCTCATCAAAGACAATCTTTTAGTGAGAGCAAGTAGTGATAATGATATCAACATAGGGTTTTGTGGTAGTATATCTTGAGAGGAACAGCAAAATTGGATCTCTGACACCAAGACAGTGATTCAGAAACATGAAATATACTACTATATACCATTTTTAACAGCAAAGAAAAGAATAAATTGATGAGAATGAATTGAATTCCTTTCTTTCCCCCCAAAAAACTCTTTAAGGACAATCTGCAAATGGAAAAATGTGTTGTTCTTTACCTTTAATAGAGTTTGGGGAAATTTTTAACTCATCTATACTGTTTCCTGTTCTGTATCCCAGTTTTTCCCCCAATGTTAGGTGTGAGTGTAGACATATGGAACTGATTTTTTTTTCCCAAACGGTGTTATGCAGTTATCTTTCAGCAGTTTTAGTTGAATATTTGCAAAGCCAATAATTTTAAAGCTAGCAACTCCACTAACCTGCAGATTGATTACAGGTTTTCAGTTTCTTTCTATTCACTGAGTTGTAATCCTAGTACTGCCAAACTTTTTCTGTAAACAGGAGGATTAAGACCTTGTACATCTATTCTATCATGTAGGCCAGGCTATTTTTTTTGTGAGAATCCTTCAAGTGAGACCACGCTAAAGTGTAACGAAACACAGAGAGTACAAAGTGGGCATTGGCATTTGCACATTAATTGGAGTGTTAAAAGTCATTTGGGGTAATCAGAATGAATATGAATGCTGAAGTGACTTTTAAAGGAAATCTCAGGACTTTCTGTACTGCCATTTTACTCCAAGTACTGATGGCTACAAGAAAAGTAAATCTCATTGACCATTCTGTGTTCTTTAATTTGCTTTCACATCCCACTGATGTCATCTGTGGGTAAAAATTGCCCTCAGATGTGCTGCCAAGTGAAAAAACATGATTAGTTAGTGGCTTCTTTATCATGTCTCCTTCCAAGAAGGAAGAGGCGTTCTGAAGTAATCAGGAGAAGAAATCATGTAGCTCAAGGAAGTAGTAACGTATTGCAGTGTACCCTGGGCAAAATTCTTTGGCATGATTTTACTTTTTCACAGTAAGTGCTGAACAAACATGTGGTGAAACTGTCATTTCAAACAACGGTGTAATCAATACTACAGTGTAAATCCAGAAAGGCTCCTGTTTCTGTGAGTACAACGTTCTGAAAACATCATAAAAAATAAAAAATATACCTGCTGAGTCATTTAGGCTGTTTGTTTCAGTTTAGTTGTAGTACTGGGTTAGTAATATTGGGTTAATATTGGGGAGAATATTAAATCTGTTCATCTGATGAAGCCTACTTTCTGTTGTTTCAGATATAAAGAACGATCAGAACAGTTCTTCCAGAAATATGGGAGATGCTGCTTTCACACTTACAGTAAAAGTCATTAAAAGCCAATGTCTGCTGGAGGGAACTCATTCATTGGTGCTTGGTGCATTGAACAGGGTACAGTTAAAGCTTCATCCTAATGCATTTTATCCCTGTTTTGCATGTGCAGTGATGAATCATTTATAGTTTTAGTTCCACAGTCATTTTACGATTGATTTGATCAAATGAGTTCCAACCTTCCGTTTCGTTTATCGTTGGGAGTTCTTTTTCTTACTTTTTGTTCTAGAGTACATTAGATCATCTTCTTTATACACTAATTCTAATTTGTATTTATAAAAACATTGCTGTTTTTTTTTTTCAAGTGGGCAGTTTGTGATTTTATTAATGGACTATTTTATAAACAAAAGGTGTTCTCATATCTTTGCCTCAACTGCACACAGAAATGAGAGGCTCTTTAATCTGGCTCCTGTTGATACATACTCCTTTACTTTTAACCTAGCAGTGATTCTCAATTATATCCATTCTTTGCACTGTTCAATTCCATAATTTTCTCCTGACATTTCTTGACATGAAGATAATAGGAAACAGGAGTTAAAAGGAACTAAATTTTTACTTCAGATTGTTTTAGTTTTCAGTGCTTTGTGACCATCTTACATGCTTTTTTTTACCCTGCTGGTTTGTGATTTTGGTTACTACATTATCAAGCAGAAGGGCTAGAAATTTTTGTATTTTTATGAAATACTAGAGAAGGAATAAGGAAGGAGATGGGCATGAGCTCACTGAAATAATTTTACAGCATTGCGAGTCACTATGACATCCGCACACACCTTCAGACCTAGGCTTTATCTAGGTTTTCTCCATCTAAGAGTGAGGAAAAATTGTGATAAATAATCACAAATAAACCGTTGAATTGCTTTATAATGGAAAACAAAACTTCAAATTGTGATACCTATATTGCAATACCTACATTGCTTCATAACTTCTTTTTGTAACTTTATAAAAGGTTCATATTTGTCACTTGTCCCTTGTTTTCACAGAACCCCAGTTTTGTTCCAGTTTAACCATAAATAAAGTACATTTTTACACTCTCCTTTTCCTGCGAAAACGATGCCAACATGTGAGTGGTTGTAATGAAACTGAGGAAAAAAACATCCCAATCTCTGGTAGAAATCTAAGGAGGTTTAATAAGGAGCTGAAAAAGTAATTGAAAAGAAAATTAAATTCAAACAATTTGTAATTGTAATTCGTGTTATTTATTGTCATATCAGTAGTAATTTTGCATACTTTAAGAACAATAATCACTAGCAACTCTTCTATTGCTATTGTAGCAAAACAGGCTGTTGATCTGAATTTCTATTCATTTCTCTGTTAGTTTATTGGAAATCCTAGCATTCAGAGGTGTGGATTAAAACTACTTACTTCTGTAGCTGAGTGCACTGGTGCTTTAGAAATTTTAACACAACAAGGAGCCACTGACACTGTGCTTCACACCCTGCAGATGTATCCAGATGAACAAGGTATGGAAGACATTTTGTTAGTAGAATGTGAATGATGTTGTAGGAGGGGTTTGATGAACCATACAGTCTTTTACCTGATTATTACACCATTTAGTACTGGATATGAAGTAGGTGTTACATGGCAGGAAAAGGCAGCAGGACTGTATAGTCTCCAGGTTCAGCCACCCTTGTAATGCTTATCCCTGTAATAGGTAATGCAAATAACCGTCTAGAATATAAACAATGATACTCTACTGAGGCCACAGGTTTATTCCACTCAGAATGTCTGAACAATCAACTTTATTAATTTTTCTTTTTTCTTAAAGACATACAGAGTTTGGGTTTGAGTCTTCTGCTCTTTTTGATTACAAGAAAGAGTTTGTGTATTGCAACTATGCATGTCCTGGCAACTGTTCTGGTTTCTACTCTGCGACGATTTAAAGAGGTCACTGAAATCCAGATGCATGTATGTGTTATTTCTACCTACAAAGATTAAAAAAAAACAACAACACTTTATAAAATTATTTTGATGTAGTTATACAGTTGAGGCAAAATTATTTGTTTAGTTCCTTTTTATTTTACTGCAATTATTATATTAGTATAAGCCTTTAAGTCAATATGATTGTCATAGAGATGGGTTTTGTGGAGGCATATATTAACTCCAGAACATATAAGCTTAAGTTTGGGTGTTTATCTGGCAAATTAGAACAAATTTTTCAGTCACTATCCATCATTTGTTGATCAATAGTCATTTAGTAGAGTAACCACCATTATTGTATTCATCACTCTTTTTTGAAAAGTAATAAACGCATTTTGGTTCACAGCCTCATCACTGTCAATAAGCTTAGTTTAAGAATTTTGAATAAAAAAGGATATTACCGGAATTCTAAGTCAGAGTGACAGATTTTGGATTTACTTCTGAGTATGGAAACAGAATTCTCCTTATTCTGTCCTGAGGATACACATTCAGTCCCCTTGTGTGAAAGTTCTGTTTCCTCTACCTTGGAAACTTTCCCTGTTTGTTGCCAGCTTAATTTTACTGGTGGAATGAAATTTCCCTATGAGATCAGCTTACAAAGTCTCTACACTTCTGTTTCAAATCAATCCGGAAATATCACAAGTGCAGCCCCCTTTTTTTTGCTTTTTTTTTTTTTCCCCCACAGCTTCTAAGTTTTGCTTAGGAAGCAGTATAGAGAGACATCAAAATAATGTGGGTAAATAAGGAAGTTAAATAAAGTCATTTATTTTCAATGAGGTTTGAATTAGAGTTTGTTGTTTACCCACTTCATCCTCCTAGGTGAACTTTACTTACAGAATCAACCTTGTCTATAATCTTGTCTTTCTTTTTAATTTCTAGCTACATTTTTTCAATTTTTCTATGTGTTTTTTTCAAAGTCAAGGATTCTGGAGCGACACATTAGGATACGTGATGCATCTTCTTGAAAGCAGATTGTTTCCTCTATACAATTTTCAGGAAATCACGAGTACGTGTGTCAGGCAGGATGTTGTCAGATATTGCTGTGCATAATTGGGCTTTTCAAAATGTCAGTTAATATCTGCTCAAGTGGGTCAGCTAAGCAAGAGTGACACTACAGCTCTAAAAATACAGAAACACCAGGTCTTTCTGCCTTCTCTCAGTTTATGAGTTATTGCATGTTTAACTGCATAACATAAAAAATAAAGTCTGTATCTTTAGGTCACAATTTAATTTTGTTTGAAAATTACACATTTTAAACAGTATACTTACAGTCTTTTAATTGTGCTCATAGGGATTACAAGCAATCTTGTCAATTCTTGGTTTTTCACCTTGTTTTGCCAAGCTGCTGATTAATGAATCATTTGACACAGTAATCTTCTACCAAATGTCTATGTGCTTCACTAACCAGCGAGATCGACAGGTATGTGTCTTCTCTTTTGACTGCTCCACATCTTGAAAAATGTTGGTGCTTTTCTTGCCCTAACTTTGATTGTGTTCCCATTCAGTTTCAAAGCCTGTGTTGTAAATGCTTTGCCAAGATAGCTGAAAATGATGATTTAAAAAATATGATGCTTGAAAAAGCATGTGTTGAATACAACAGTATTATGGCTGAATGTTTACTTCTACTGGGAGCTGATATTAACAAGAAGACAAAGACAAGCTCTTTGATCTATCAGGTAATATGTGAAAATATATGTAGATTCGTTGCTTTAAAATTTCTGCTTTTGGGTTCCTTTATATATACAGTGGCACTCTCTAAGGCAGTCTGACTGTGACCTAGGTGTTGACAGCTGTTGCTATTCCTGGTGACCACACCTGGTTTGATACTCACTAAAACACTTTTCACTTCTCTAAGGCTCATGTTTACTGTCACCTCGAACATGTCCACACTGCTAGCTCAGTTCTGGTGCAAGTTCACTTTAAAGTCATGCTTTCTGCTTCTTCACCCTGCTCACATGCAAACCGAGGTTCACGCAAGTACTGACTTAGCTTTGGAGTATTTTTGAGGAAAAAGACTTTGGCTGAGATAAGTTCAAGCTTTTCAAACTCCCAGGTGTTTTTTTCTGAACTGATTATGCATCGATGGCATCAAGCCCATTAGAGCCCAGTTCATGACCTTATCTTCCAAATTCAGCTCATGCTAAGCACTCTGAAGCCAAAATGCAGACAGCCCAGCAGACCACACTATGCATAAATTGGTTTCAGTGTGCCACAGTAAAGTTCCACTCCACTAGATCTGCAGTGAAGATTTTTTCTGATGGTGATTTCTTACTTTGTGTTGTACTTATAGATCATTACAGCCATCAGTTCTTTTGCTGATTTAAAGGCTTTCTATCAACATAGCTACAGTAATGTAGTATCTTAGAATGACTGCACACACACTAGCTGCAAAGTGCTTTATCCAGGGTTCACATACAGAACCTGAACTAGCTGAAACACACTGGTGTCTTAACTATTGGCCTTAGCATTGGCTGTTCCCATCTGCATATAAGTATTCCCTGCTAATTGTGACTGTCTTTAAAAAAAAAGTTTGGAGAAACTGTATGTTTTGCTTTAGTGTCAAACTTGGTTAGTTTGACACTTCTGCCAGCAGAGCTGTCTGGGTTGTCATCTAGCACAGATGGATTTTCAGCAGACCATCCATCCATGGAATCTGAAGCAGGCAAATTAGAGTTGGTCAGCCACAATGGAAAATACTGAAGTAACTGGCATTAATTCTAAAAATATTTGTAACATTCATAATCAACACTGCTCCGTGTAGCAGTGCAGGTTGAGTGACTGAAAGGAGCTGAGCTAAAGCCAGTAGGCTTGAGTCCCTAGCTCTAGGCAAGTCTAGCATTGTTGCCCTTTCATCTGATATCCTGCTGACACTAAGAGTGTTTTGTTTTTTTTTTTCATTAAGCTACATTCAATAACAAAACAATGTAAATCATTATTAATTTTTGCCTGAAAATTCTGTGAGCTTATGGCAGAAATTGCAATGAGAGCTCAGGCATTTGCTGTATTTCGGTTAAGACTTCATGAAAATGGGAGTTGGTGCTTAAGTGCAATTCACTAAGCCCTGAGGCGCAGGGAATTGTGTAATTGAAAAGGGAGCCCAGTCCTAAAAACAGAATGAATCTAAATTTGAGAATGTCTCTTACTGCAAACTCAGTTGTTGTCTGAGTCTCTCACATAAACTTGTTAATTGTTTTCTTGCTTTAGGTTTGTGAAAAGGGAAATAATCCTAAACTGGTGGAATTGCTATTAGCCAAAGGTGTTCGAGAGCAGGATGTTCGGAGTGCTTTAACCATCAGTATAAAGAGAGGAGATAGCCAAATCATCAGCTTGCTCTTAAAGAAGCTTAGTCTTGATGTCGCCAACAGCAGTATATGTCTTGGAGGATTTGGTATTGGGAGACTTGAGCCTTCCTGGCTCATTCCTTTGTTCCCAGATAAGCTTACTCCACCAAGAAAACAAAGTGAGTGTACACAGAATGTACTACAGTATATGTGTTAATATCTCTTGGTAATATTAATTACTTTAGATCAAGACCTTTGGTTGAGTTCTCTATAGTGCTTAGCTGGTTGCAGAAAGTCTGCAAAACCATGAAAATAAATCAAGTATTTCTGTTATTTTTTGAGCTATATGCATTTTTCAGAGAAAGTGTTACCTTCTTGGTTTCTGATACATACAGATGCAGGCTCTGCACTAGCAAGAATGGTGCTTAAATACCAGATGAAGAATGTTTCTGAGGATAGATCAGGAACTTGTTCTGATTTAAACTTCTCTGAAGATGGAGTGGATAAAAACTACGATTGGAATTTCATTTCTGACCCACTAGTGGACACTGTTTTTCCTTCAAGTGATGATATTGATAGTGAAGGTAATTGTGTTTGTTTGTTTTTGAATTGTCCAAGTCTAATATACTGAAGTGAGGCCGTAAGTATGAATCCCTTCAAATTAGTTAGGCAATTGTAAGACTACCAGCTGAGGAAAATATAATTTAAAAAAATTATTTATCAGTTGTTTGTTTGTATTTGGTATAAAACACTTCTCATGGAATATATATATATATGTATATATACATACACACACACACATACACATAATTCCATCTAAAATTTTGCTTGTGGTATCTCTGGAAAATAGTTTATGGTCAATAAGTATATGCTTTGCCTGCAAAAGTAGTGTTTTAAAGTATTTTATTCAATTATCCATTCAAAATCAGTTCTTTCTGAACTGGAATACATTCAGTTGCTTTCTTGTAGAAAGGATGGGATTCATCCAGCCATTTTTAGCTAATGCCTGCTTCTGAGGTCAGCTTACATCAGCTGTTTCTGAGCAATTCTTATATGCTTCTTCTATAGACAACAGCAGAGGCAACAAGTGCTTCAGGAGCACATTTTGTCTCACCATGAAGTCAGGTAACTGATTCAGAAATGCTCTGTTCCCTGGCTTGTCTATAAATGAAAAGAGCACAACTAAGTTCAGTATAAAGAATTATATTGTTAACAATTAAATGAGGTGGAATAAGTCCTATCCCAGAGGTATCCAGCTGATCAGAAAGTGTAAATGACAGACCTATGATCAGTCCAACGTTGTTCTTGGTATCCATGTCAAGAACATGATGTGCCTTTGACTTAGAAAAGACAGCATTTCTATCCGTATTACTTACTAACAACAGTAAGGAGCCTTATAAAAGTCTTTTACCGATTCAGAAGACACTGTCATGTTTTAGAAGTGTTAAAGTCATCGCAGATGAAGAATTTGAATTTTGTGATCAGAGAATCCTAAGGATTTTTTTTATTCTCTTCTGTTCTTTTCCTTGACATCATTCAGCACCATTTTTCATTTCTGTAGGACTGTGTATCTCAGACAGATGTTACTGATAGCGTGTGTGGCATTATTTCCACACAGAAAGTTTTGAAGTCTTACATAAACTATGGTAAAAAAAAGAATACAGGTTTTGCCAACAAGAGGGCTTTTAGGAGTTAAAAAAACTACCCTTGAGAGGAGGAACACAGATGACCCCAAATCATTACCAAAAGATGCCAAAGAGTTATTTGGTGTTTCATTCTCAGTAAGTATGGAAGCGCAAAAGCGTCAATTTAAATACAGACCTTTTCCATATTCAAAAGATATTGACACTGCAGTAGCACGAAGATGTGTTACAAAATGTATAAAAATGTAAACTTGCTGGAAATTTTAAGTGATAAATCACCAATGTAAAAAGCTGCAGTTTGTATTCTGAGTATGTCAGGTAGGCATGGCCCCTGTGCTCTAAAACATGTTAATATTCTAGGCTGGTTGCACACACAGTTAACCAGTGAGTTCCTGCTGTTATTGATCTTTTGAAATATGTCTCTCCTTTGTCAGCATGTATCTTACAGTTGAATTCTGAGCCTCAGATTTGAGTACATCTTGTTTACCTATCTTCCTGCGTTATTTCTTTGTCCTAGGAAGTGAAGGTTCACTTTTTAGAAAAAAGAAGTCCAATTCCATTGCAGTTGCTGATTTACATTGTAGAGAACTTGCTTTTCAAAGAGGTTCTCCTACTTTACCACGACATTCCTACTCTGTGGTAAGCCATGTTTGTATTCATTCCAGGTTCCTTCTGAAAAAGTATCTCTGTTGCCCAGTGTAAAACTGTTAATAATCAAGTGTAAGGAAAGGTTCTGTTCTTCATCCTATTGCCCCACCCCAGTGAAAATCATGTTAGGTTGTTAAAAATGCACTATATTCTTTGCACTCTAACATCTACTGTTGTTTCATAGTGCATGAATCAATAAGTTTTATAAATCTGTGACTTGTTATTTTTAGTGTTAAAAAGCTCAGTCTCTATGTTTTCCACCTGAAATTTCTGATTAAAAGAAACATTAAAAGAAATTTCCTGAATTCAAATCATTTTATGTATCTGCATACTTCTATACCTATTGTTTGTTTTCATTCTGTTTTGGTATTTTCCAGGGACCTGGCTCAGATTATGAGCCATTAGTGAAACAAAGAAGAAAATTATTGCTTTCAGATGAACCTCCCAGTAAGTAAACTATACAATTTAGCACATATAGGGCTGTTTAATGCTTTCACAATCATAGTTAGATTATATATTTGTTTACGAAAAGGAGGGTACATATTTAATGCTATCATGGAGTACAAATAGTGCCTACATAGTGCAAAATCTTTTCCTGGACTTCTCAAATAATGAAGTAGAATTGTACAGACAGTGTAATTTCGTGAGTGCCCTTAGTTTTCAAAAACTATCCCTGCTGTGCAGTGCCTAAGCCTTTGTCTCTTCCCTGCTGTCTCTTAAATTTCTGTCTCCTCAAAAATCTGTATGGATTTGGGCTTGACTAATATACAAACATTCTCTGTCTTCTGTGTATTTAGATCCTAGTCTGATTCATCTGAATTTTAGTTTTGTATTAAGTGAAATCATGCTATTTTTCCCATGTCTTTGTCTTTATAGAAGGAATCTCAAAAAGCTCACTGCATTTAAGACCTTCAGACAGTCTTTCCTCATTGATCTCAGAGAAAGAATGTATTAAATCACTAGATCTTTCATCAAATGAGCTGGAGAACATTGATGCCATCAGCCAGAACAGCAGCTTAACGAGTCACTTGGAACATCTTGATAAACTGGAGCTCCACCAAAATGCTCTTACAAACATTCCGGAACAACTGTGTGAGGTAGTGTTGCATAATTTTATGTAATACAAATTAAGATTAGTTACAGTAAATAGTTTGTCTTTAACTACCTACTCAAAACAATACCACTCTTGAGTATGGGTGTATATTTTGGCATGCTTCATACATTTCTTGCTTTCATTCAGGATTTAAGTGCAGCTGGAAATTGAAACATTTTCATGGGACTGTTTTAAAGTGTTTACATCAGAGAACAGCTTTAGGATGTTGCACTGAGTAACATAACAAATGAAACTGAGACCTGCAGGCAGTTGATGATTGTTAAATTTTATGAAACTGAGCTAAATGATTTTAAATAATGCTTATATTTTTTTCCTTAATATAAATACTACTGGTTACATTGGTATTACTGATATTTTCTGCTATTTTTCCTAGTCAGGCAAATGTCAAGTAATAAATTATGTAAAGTGTAAATCACTTTAAAACCTATAAATTCGTGTTTTCATTTCATTTTTTTTAACATCTCTTTTTTATTTTCAGAACTTGAAATGCTTGACTTATTTGGATTTGCACAGCAACCGATTTACTTTTTTTCCTACTTACTTGCTGAAAATGAACTGTATTGCATATCTTGATATCTCTCGAAATGACATTGGACCTTCCTTTGCTTTGGATCCACATCTCAGATGTCCAACCCTAAAGCAACTGAACCTTTCATACAATCAGCTGATGGGCATTCCTGAGTTTCTTGCAAATGTTGCTGAAAACCTTGAACAGCTATTGCTGGAAGGGTGAGAGTAGCATTCATAAATGGACTATAGCATAACAGACAGCAGAGATAATGTTTTTGTTATCCAGAATGGTCTCTGCTGTAGTATGGGAAGGATCATTTCATCAGCAGTGAAACAATGATGTTACTTTCTGAGTGTATAAATCCTTTCAGTTCTGCGTTGTATGACAAAGTACATTAGAACATCTGTGAGTCTTGGTTGAATCTAATAACTTTACATTTTTGAACTAAAAATGTTGTAGTTCAGCATTTTTCTACTGCCACTCTGCTCATCCCCAAGATTGTCCATGTCATCTACATTTAGCTAGATTTGCTTTATGCAGAATACAGCGTCCACTGTATTTTGTATTAACCAAAGGCTTTTTGAAATCTGATTCGTGTTATGAATATGTTTTAAATGACAGAAGCAAAGAAAATATGTTGTGGGTTTTTTTATTACCAGCACTTTATATCATATTTGTTAGTGGGTGAATTAATTCATACCTCTTGGGAATTCATGCAACTGATGAAGTTGTTAGTTCTGTACAATGTAGAGGTTGTCTCAAATGCAACTATAATTTCACTGTAAGGATGTCATATGTCTTGCACAGAAATTCATGGAGTAAAAATAGCAAGATACTTAACTAAACCAAGTGGTATTTAATATGTGAATCAAATTCACAAAAGTACTGTTTGAAATTTAAAATCCAGTTGCATTTCTTCACAAGCATTATTATGATCTGCATTAGCAGCATTGCTTGCAGCACATTGCTGCATGATTCTTTTGTCAATGTATTTTCAGTATCTTTGTCTCTGGTGTTTTGCTTCTAACATCATATGCCAATCCTAAATTGTGTCCCCTATTTGGAATATATAAATTTTTTTAGATTGACAGTCATTCTGTGGTTATAATCCTGAAAATGTACTTCTTTAGTAAACAGAACTGCACACAAATGCAATAGTTCTCTTTGTGTGGGATTGAACTACAGTACATAATCAGGAAATGACACCTTATAGTACACTCAGGCATATGTTCTTCACAGTAATTAAGCAATCTTAATATCAATCTTGTTTTTCTGTGCTACCACAAGCACCAGTGTTTTCACTGACTAGTCAGTCTTTATTTAGATAAATGTGTTTTTTGGTTTACCTGTGTAAGAATGTCACATTAATATACTTTCGCTTTTTTTAGCTAATAGTTTCTGAATAAAACATGCACTTTTCTTCTTATACCAGAAACAAAATTTCATGCCTATCTTCACCCATGTCCTTGAAAGAGCTGAAAATTTTAAATATCAGTAAGAACAATATTTCATCCCTTGCTGAGAATGTGTTAAAGGGCTGTGCAAAACTGGAGCTATTCAATGCCAGGATGAATGCTCTTGGTAAGTATCTATGACCCACCTTCTGGAAACCATTCACTTAATTCCTACTCACCAGCATTTGGAGTCTTGGGATAAGAGTGAAGGAGAACAGCATGTATGCAAAATGTACACTTGAAGGAGAAGAGCACATATGCTTGTCTTTGTCTATACTGCTTCAACTTTTGTTCACTGCTGGAAGCAATACGCTTGAAGCTTGATGGATGGAACTGATCTTGTTCTTATATTTGTAGTGTAAGCTGTAAAAATGGTTGAGTGTAGCTGAGATGTTGCATACTGCTGGGGAAGGTTCCAAGCAGAGGAAATTGCTCAAGGTTAGCTTGAAAATCTATTACTAATACAGGTCTAATAATGTACTGAGATATACATCAAGTATAACTACACTATATTCAGCATAGCTTTCTAAATAATGTAGGATGATTGATTCACTTGCCTAAACATAGGTGTCATTGGAGATGCACTGAAGTATGGCACTTGGTCTACAGCTTCTGATTCAGAAAAAGCAGGTCTTCCATAGCAGGTGTGTTGTGTCATCAAGGCATGTGCAGATAGCTCAGGTACCACAGAGAAGCTCATCTTCATTAGACTCTTCTGTTTAAGCAACTTAATTCAGTCTGAAATGTATTTCATGGCTTAGAATACTTTCTGCAAAGGTTTCAAAGTTATTTTGTGAATTATAGGAATGTGTAAATAAAGATCATTTCAGTATTTAAGGCCAATATGAGATGGAATATAAAAGGATGTAATGTGATAAAAGCAAATATATGAACTCTGTTATATGCTTTTCTAATTTGGGAAATTCAGTAAAGGAGCTTTAAAATACGTTTCAGTTTCTGTCTTAGGCAGTTTATATAAGGACCAATGCATAGAAGATGATTGCCTGACCTTTTAATCTATCTGTGATTTTAGAAAACTACAGTATGAAAAATAATTTAAAAAGTTCTGAAAAATAATGGTATTAACTTCTTTTTCTATTCTAGAGATAATACCTGACTTGTCATCTAGCATAACAACCTTAAAATTATCCCAAAATTGCTTTATTAATGTTCCAGAAACAATTCTTCTTCTACCACAGTAAGTTGTTCTTTTACTTATTGAGGTTAATATCCAGTTCTTGATGAGGAAAATTCAGCATATTTCCCTGATTTTTAGAAAACTCTCTGTCCGAGTTTAATTGCTGAGTAGTATCTTTTAACTGAAGCCAAATGAATCCATTTTCTTCATTATTTTGGGAAGTATAATTCCTCAGATTCAAATAGTTATGTTTACACTCAAATAGTTATGTTTAGACTCAAATAGATTCAAATAGTTATGTTTATGTTTTGTATGTTACTTGACTGTTGAAGCAGACCATTGTTCTAAGAAAACCAGAATTGATTTAATTAAGAAGTTAATTAAAAAATACTGGCAATTTTTCCCTTTCAGGAAGTTCTGCAGCTTCAGATTTTTGCACGTGTCCACTGAAATTATTTTTTTCACTTCCCAAATATCACAAGATATTTTTTCTCAAAGAATGACACTTCCTCTGTGTGGAACTGTGATAATGATGCATGTGACATTTATTTTGCTGTACCTTCAGAACATTACTCATGTGAAAATCAGGACTTAAGCTTTTTCTATGGTCACCAGAACGAGATGGTGGGAGTAGCACTGGAGGAGATGTCAAGTCAGGTGCCTGGTAGATTGTGTGGATGTGAGTGCTGGTGGGGGAGCAGTCAGTAATCACAGGAAGAGGAAAGAGCCCTGCTGTTATCTCAGTGTGTACTTCCTTACATTGACTGTAATTTGCTATCTGAAATATGTACAAAATATAAGTGAATATTTTTTTCATGACATCAGTAGCAAACACAATGAGAACATATTACACTGTATTTTTAACATGTATTTTCTTGTTATTTTTTCCAAGGTAGTGAAGACCTGCTTATAATATCATCTTAATTACTTCTGCTCACAGTAGTAATTCCCATCTTCCCATCTACATTCCTGACAGAAAACTGTCTGTTCTGATATCTAATCCATTTGTTTATTGAAAACCAGTACAGTTCCAATTGATCTCAGTTGGATTTATTTTGTTCACTAACTTTTCTCTTCTGTATTTTCATGTTTTCAGTTTGCGATCAGTAGATTTAAGCCAAAACAAGATCATAAGCCTGCCTGGGCCGGTGCACTGGAAATCACTGAACTTAAGGGAGCTGTTATTTAATCATAATCAAATAGGAGTCTTGGACTTGAGTGAAAAGGCATGTGCATGGTCTAGGCTAGAAAAGCTACACCTGTCCAACAACAAGTTAAAGGAGGTAAAGCGTAAAATTCTACCTAGAGAAAATCAACTCACTTTTCAGTTTCGATTGTCAATGTTCCTACAGTTTTCCTGTCACCACCTCACATCGCTGAACGTTCTAGTAGTGAAATGGTGTGTTACTGGGAATAATTTTTCTTGAGCAGAGAAGTCCCTGTATTCTATTAAGCTTTCTTTCTGGAATGTGTGATATAATCAGTTTTCATAATGGATTAATTATGAAGTTCTTTGTATATTAGTGAGGAGCATTTGGTCTGTTTATTTTAAAAATAAAACCACAAGAACTAAACTACAGCTGTAAAAATACCCAGTTTTGTTGAATGTTTATAGTAGTCATGCTCATACAAAAATATATTGTTTTTTAACATTTAGGTGTCTATTAAATGTTCTTTTATTTAGATACCTCCTCAGATTGGCTTCCTAGAAAACTTGACTTCTCTGGATGTAAGTCATAATCCCGATTTGAGATTCTTTCCGGATGAAATGGGAAGGCTGTCCAAAATCTGGGATCTTCCTTTGGAAGGACTCCATCTTAATTTGGACTTCAAACATGTGGGATGCAAAGCCAGAGATATCATCAGGTTTGTTTCCCTATAGCTCTCTAATATTCTTGTTTTGTTTTCTTGGGGTATGTGGTGAGCAGTAAGAGAGCAACATATTCATTTGAAGAGAAGTGCTGGTTCGTCATATGATTTCCAGTACAGCTGCTACTCTGCACGCACACACACACACAAAAAACTGATTATAGTCATTTAGAAAACATGGCTTCATTGCTTTTTTAATTTCATAATTCTATAAACCAAGTAATAGATGGTGTTTACAGTTCTTGCATTCCTTGGTTTCCCAAGTGCACCGCATAGAGTACATTTTTAGTTAATAACAAAAGCAGAAAAGACTTCACTTAATGAATTAAGCTTTAACTTTGAAATTAGAATAAAGATTAGAATCCAGTAGTACCAAATTGATGCTGAAAATTTGAAGGAAATTGTATGTTTTTTGATTTTTGCTTGGTCTCAAGGTCTGTTGCTGTTTTTCTTTATTACACATTTCTGTGAGTTCTGCCAACTTCTTTCATGCTAGATTTCTTCAACAACGACTGAAGAAGGCTGTACCTTATAACAGAATGAAGCTAATGATTGTTGGAAACACTGGTAGTGGAAAAACTACACTGTTACAACAGCTAATGAAATGCAAACGAACTGAGCTGGGCTGTCCAAAAGCCACAGTAGGCATTGATGTAAAAGACTGGATCATTCAAGGGAAAGGCAAAATGAAAAAAGAGCTTATATTAAATGTCTGGGATTTTGGAGGTATGTTGAGAGCTTATTATCCTTTATTATTGACTTCTTTAATTCATGAATGCATTGCTTATTCTTAAAGTGAAATTTCATATTGTAGACAGTAAAATTATGCAAATTTGCATCAAGAATCAGGTGACCACATATTCATTAAGGAATTCTGCTAATTCCCTAATAGGGATTTTGGTAAACCTTTCTAAGTCTGGGGATTCTAGAAGCTCTTCTAAGATGTAGGGATGTTTCAACCTTTAGAAAAGTTTTTCTTAAACATTGGTCTGCGAGCAGCTTAATACAGTCTATATCACAATGCATATGCATGCATGTTAAATGGCTAGCTTCAGTTGTGACACCTTGTGATTTCAGTTGCTGAGCCTGTGAATAAGACTCTTATTTTGAAGTTGGTTAAATAACAAGTAAAAGAAAGGAAAGGGAAAAAGAAGGGAAGGAGCAAGGAAGAAAGCAGTTTATATTTTGGTGATTATAAATTTAGTACTGGGTTTTTGAAAGAAGCGTGGAATGTAGCAAGCATGTCTATCCAGTTGTTGAACATTATGCTTCTTGACTGAAAACCAGCTTACATATTTCAACACTGCATTTCAGTTAACGAGATACCACAGAATACCTACCTAAAATTCGTAGTTATTGCAGGTTTCCTATCAGTTTTGATTATTTTATGCAAGCATTTATTTCATTTATGAAGTAGTGATCTGAGAGCAAGTGTTATACTACTTTTTATGATCTGCAGATGCTCAGTGAATGAGGTTCTAAACAGTGGGATTTTTTTATCATTAGGACAAGAGGAGTTCTACAGTACCCACCCTCACTTCATGACCCAAAGAGCTTTGTATCTTGCTGTTTATGATCTCAGCAAAGGACAAGCAGAGGTGGATGCTATGAAGCCATGGCTTTTTAACATCAAGGTATTAAGCCATAGATATGTACAGAATGGAGTGCCACATTCTGGGGAGCTGCTAATGAGTGCAGATTAACCACAAATACATTTGAGAGGAGAATAGCAAAGAAGCTCTTCAGTAAACAGAACTAGTAAGATGAAGCAAGTGCTGAAATGTATTATGAATTGGATGTGAAAAACTGACACCATTTTGTACTTGAGATGGCAGAGTGATGTGCAGAACAGTTTGTGTGTTCTGGCAGTATTTTGGATTGAGTGATAAATATAAAAAAAGGGACTGTATTAAAAGGATAACGAGTTAAGCATGCTTTTTCTTCTACACTGTTGTAATTTCTGGGGAAAATGGAATTTCATTCGTGTAAAACTGACTAGATGGTTATTTGAAATCATGTTGTTAAGTTTATGCTTTGCATCCTGTTGTTAAAAGGAATGATCCCAGGACTATAGTAACGAGGTTTTTCATTTGCTTTTGGTGGAATCATCCCATAGTGAACATTACTTGTCTTTTGCTTTCAGTCTGATAGTTAGCCATAGCTGGGCAATGCAATTACATCAGGATTTTGTATATGGGTCCTGTTTGTTAAGCTTACCTTTTTTGTTCTTTTCACCTTGAGCAGTGGTACAGTCAGATAAGCACTGATGAAGAGCACTTCTGATGTGTTGTTCCTTGCTGTGCAGTGCTTGATGGTGTTTTGTTGTTGCACTGTTCCTCTGACAGCTGGCATAGTACCCTGTGCTTTTCCACTGTATTAGTCTCTTCTAATGAAAAATACAATTGCCTGTGTTACTGCCAATACTATTAATATACCAAGAATGAAATCCAGATCTAAACCACTTCCTTTAAAAAGTTTATTCTGTAGATTTCTGGTTTTGAAGTTTACACGTATTTTGAATAAAGGCATAAAGTAGTATTTCAGATTCAGATTTACCCATTGCTCAAACTCAGAAGAGATATATTTAAAAAGAAAAAGGAAGAAACCGTTTCTTTTATCACTGTATTGATTATTTTGACCAAATTGTTCACTGTTTACATGCACATACATTGAGTTAATGGACTGTGTGGGTATTGCTACAGGCACGAGCTTCAACATCCCCCGTCATTCTTGTTGGCACCCACTTAGATGTTTCTGATGAAAAGCAACATAAGGACTGCATGAGTAAAATTACTAGAGAGCTGTTGAATAAGCGAGGCTTCCCAGCAATCCAGGATTCTCACTTTGTGAATGCTAGAGAAGAATCAGATTCCATTATGAGACTTCGGAAAATCATAATAAAGGAGAGTCTTCATTTCAAAGTAAGCTGCATACCGTTTGTAACATTAAAACATCCTAGTTCTAGTTAAGTACATATATTTTAAGGCTTTCATTAAACACATAATTAAATACATTTTTTGGTGTGGTAACCTTGCCTTGTATAAAATGCAGACACAGCAAAATAATGATGGAAAATTCCCAGTTTTTACTTTATTTATTTTTCTACCAAGAAATCAATTTAACAAAGATCTCAGCTAAGTTTCTTTCTCAAACACTAGGACAGAAAATAGAATATTTAATTTAAAATTGTCCATCTTCTTGTGAATGAATCTGATCAAAAACTGCCCATTTTTGTTGGTTAGCAATATGTGATTGCAATAATAAATATTGCAAGGTTTCAGGGGATCAGGACAGAAGATTCTGTGATTTCTGAAAGCCAACTAATTCTTTATTTACTGATTTGATATTATACTATGTGATGGAGTTCTTAGAAGGAGAAAAGTAAATGAAAGCAGGAAAAGGCCTCCTGGTTTGAGGGATCCTCCTAAACTGGCAAGTCTGCTCGTAGTTCTGTTGTCTCTAAAGTCATCCCTGCCACCCAACCGCTTGTTGCCTAGTCCAGGCACTTGTTGCAGTCCAAGCACAGAGCTGGTAGAAAGACAGGATCCAGTCTATAACAGAAAGAATGTGGGTGTTTTTATTTTTCTGCTTATTCAATATTGATCATATATACAGTTTCATTAAATGTTCAAGGGAGAAACTGATGTCTTGTGCTTCGAAAGTCACAGGCAGAACTTCATAAATCACAGCAGAACCCAGATTACTTCTAAATTATTGCTCTGATGATTTTAATGAGCAAATTCTGTTTTTATGGCTAGCCTCACACTGTTGTGTTACAAAGGAGGGGAAGTGTGGACACTCCTCATTTTCCTCTCTGAGGAACCATCAGCTGAGCCACATCCTTAAACTGCCCATCTTCATTCCACTGTTCAAGGGGTAATTAACCAGTGCAGTAAAAATCATTTCTGTAACACACACATGCATTCTGGCTGTGGTTTAAACTGATGTTTAAACTTCCATGTGAAAGTAAAGTAGTCTAAAAGAAAGGAGATGTTTCCCATAAATAATGTAGGCACTTTGTGAAAGGAGTTACAAGGTACCTGCCTATGAATTAACCACTAAAAAAAAAAAGCACTAAACATGGCCCTCGAATGCTTTGAGTCTTTGAACTTCCACAAGAAAGTAATTACATTTCTGACACAGAAATGCCACAATGCATTGATATTTAGTTTCTTTGGCAGACTAAGAAGCCAATTGGGAAATGTTAAGACAATTGTTTCCCATTTCCCCCCAGAAAACAACTTATTCAGCACCTCTGGAGAATAAAAAGCCTGACTAATGGCTAGCTAATACCAAAGGTCAAAGCATGTGTCCAGGAAGGAACTCAGACTACAGGAAACAGGAACAAAATCCTTGGCTGTGTTGCTCATCTTGCTAGATTTATTCTCTTCTGTTTTCCGGTGACCATCACCATCAGTTGACTGTGGACGCTCTTACTTAAGCGACTACCCTTTTCCCCCTCACTTTTCTGGAGACATTGCAGATTACAAAGAGTGTGATTTTCAAAATTATTTTGTTTATCTGTTGTCCTCTGTTAACATGAGATGCATGGCATTATCTGTTCATACAGCAAATGTTGTCCTTTTACTTCAAACCACAGCTTCTCTTAGTATCTCTTAGATGTCATGCTAGATTTTTTTATTTTCCTAAATACATGTAATAAAGCAGTATTTTCTTCTATGCTTTTTCTTTTCTAGAAAGACATGCATACATTACTTCTCAAAGAATTAGTCCCATCTATTTTTCAGAAGCCACATTAGTCAATAGATGTTCTTATTCCTTGCTGCTGCTACGATTAGGCTAATATCCATAGCTTGCATTTGAGTTGCAATATTGCTTACACTTTATGTGAATAAATAAACACATTTTATATTATTATTCTTAATTGTACAGATAAGAGATCAGCCAGTGGTTGGTCAGCTGATTCCTGACAGCTATCTGGAGCTGGAAAAGAGAATTTTGCTGGAAAGAAAAAATGTCCCGGTTGAATTTCCTGTGATTGATCAGAAACGATTACTAGAAATGGTACAAGAAAATAAGTTACAACTGGATGAAAATGAACTCCCTCATGCAATTCACTTTCTGAACGAGTCAGGTAAAATACGATCTTCAGTGTATGTTTTGTTAGCAATTTGTTGTAAATCTGCAGCAGATGAGACTTGTATGGATTTTTAAATTTCACTCAAGGTCGACTCAGTGCGTTAAACTGAAATGCTGCCCATGGGTAAAATCCTGCAGTTTGAAAATCCACATCATTATGTCATAAAGGAATTTCATGATAAAAAGTGTCACTCTTGTAACAATTTATGTGTATTGTCACTCCCAGGAAATATCTAATTGCTTGTTAGGCTGCACAGTGCCTGAAGAAAGGTACAATTATTGTAACAGCTTGAACAGAATGGCAGGTAACAGCTTGTATCAGCACCATACAGAATTCGTAACATTAAATAATTAACAACATAGAGCATAGCTTCACCAAAAATGCCCAAGTCAGATAGAAACCTAACAAAACATCTGAAAATAAAGGTAAAGCTGAACAAACCATGATTTCATTCTATTCTTCCAAGATACTGACATAGATGCAATAACTGAATTTAATGTTCAAATTGATTGTATCAAGCCACATAAGGAAGACAACCCAGAGTGGGGCAGTTATGCTGCTTAATATGGAGCATGAGGAATGTGTTGCTAATTACAGTGTGTTTTGTGCAGGCGTACTGCTTCATTTTCAGGACCCAGCACTGCAGCTAAGAGACCTGTACTTTGTAGATCCTAAGTGGCTGTGTAAAATCATGGCACAGGTCAGTCTCTGATTACTTTCTATGTCTACATTCATGAAACTTTTTCCCCTGTACCAAACCACTGTAACTTATAAATGATTCTTTTTCACTATTTCTGTACGTTATTTAGTATTTCTTCATGGCCCAAATTACCTGTCTCTTTCTGTCTTGTTTGCATTCTGAACAACTGCCCATCTCAGTTGTTCCATTTCTTACATAATGCCCAACATAATTTCAACTGCACTGGATGCAGGAAGACCCATGGAGTAAAAAAAACCTCAGAGATGCACAGTAATCCCACAGGATATTGCAATAGGTGGAGGAGAAAGCAGAAACTCTGGATTAAAGTAGTAATAATGGGTGAGGAAGGGCCGCTGTATGCTTGTACTGGTGATGTAGGAAAGTGGATCCTGCAGAATCATGTAATGGGACAGAAGAGTAACAGGCTGTCTGCTTAAGTGAATCCATAATGATATTTTGATTTAGAAAGACCACTCTCAAGCTTTTTGATAAATATTCATATAACCTAACCTCTGAAACTTTACCTTTCATTCAGCGGAGGAGACAGGAGAACATAAATGTAAGCCTACAGAGCTCAATTAAAAGTAAAAGCTCAAAGTGGGAGTAAGAGTGAGAGAAGACTGGGGACATGGTGTAGTCTGCACTGCTCTGCTTGTGTGAAGTGCTGGTATGAAAGATCACTATGTCTATGTTGCTTTTAGGCTACACTTCCATAAATTAGCTTATAGAATATCTTTCTTATAATATTCTTATAAATAGTGAGAGCTACTGAAGAATGGTAGCATATTAATGGCTTGGACAGGTTAAATTTCATCACTGCTGTCTCCTTGCTGGTTAACATTATGGAAGTCATTGGTTTCACTGTGACATAGAGTCCAGTTTTTCCCCTAAATAATAGACTACCAAATGTTTCAGGGAACAACATTAGTAAGGAAAGTACAATCTAATGATGACTGTACACCTCAAATTGTTTTACTTTTTTGGAAAGATTCTGACTGTGAAAGTGGAAGGCTTTTCTAAATACCCTAAGGGAATTGTGAAACGCTCAGATGTGGAAAAATTCCTTTTAAAGAAGAGCAAGTTTCCTAAGATCTACATGTCACAATACTTCAAACTTCTGGAAAAGTTTCAGATTGCTTTGCCTTTAGGAGAGGACCAACTACTAATCCCAAGCAGGTAAGCAAAGACCCATAAACCCATAGAAAGTTATCATAATAAAAACCTCCCAAAGGGCTTGCTAGCTTAACTCATCAGCAGAGCCATTTGGCATTTGAAAGCATATTACATACTTAATACTTAGTCAATGCTTTCGGAGACATGTTAAACTCATCCTCTGGCAGATAAGCTTCCATCTTTAAAAAATAAAATGCTTTATGAGTAAAGTACTTCTTTAATAGTTTTCATGCTCCACAACAAGAAGATTATAATTTAGCCTTACATCATGGTCTGCTGACATTACAGATATTTATTGCAAAGTAAATTTTTACCGTGAATTCTTACGACTTATTTGCTTGAAGTCAGAACCGATCAAGTTACTCAGAGGCAGAATATCTCCAAAACAGAGCAGTGATTAAATGCAACCAAAAAGATGTTGTGAATGTGGGCTTTTTGCTCTGTCAGAAGCAAGTAACGGTTTCTCTGCCTTAGGTACAGATTGTGTGTTAAACAGTGCTTATTTTTCTTAATGAAGAAATTTTTTGTGAGGTTGTGATGAGTTTGAATTATAGCAGAAATTTACTTTATCACAAACAGAATAGGCAAATGCACTGTCTGTTGCTGGATTGTTTGTATTATTCATTCATTAATGAATAAATTTTGCGTTGTAAATAATGTATGCCATCAGATTGGATAAAGTACATCATTAAACACGGTATAATATTTTTGTTCTTTCAGTTTGTCTGATCACAGACCTGTTATAGAGCTTCCTCACTGTGAAAATTCAGAAATTATCATCAGACTTTATGAGATGCCATACTTTCCTATGGGATTTTGGTCCAGGCTGATCAACAGGTTGCTTGAAATATCACCTTATATGCTGTCAGGAAGAGGTACAAATCTTTTGTTTCAAATGCAATAGTGAGAATATTTCCTCTAAACATAAGCATGTACATTCCAAAGCTCTAATCCCCAGTTCTATTTTGATCTAGTTATTTTCTGGGCCATTCAGAAATGTAAGAAAAATGGCAGTGGTAATTTTTGTAACTTAGAAGTATCCAGGGGCAATTACTGCATGAGATCTTCACAGTGATGTGCAAAAGAAAGTGAAGGTGTTAGAGGCCTATTTCTCTCCTTCGAGTGCTAGAAATAGAGTGACTCTTCATATGTGTGCAGTATTGTTGTTTCATTCCACAAGGAATATAGGAAAGAAGAGGTTTTCTTCACAGAAGGATGGGTTAATCTGTTGTCCCTATATGAATGTCCAAAAGCTCTGCTTCAGTCAGAACTGTTGATTTTCTTGGAATTTTTCTCTACTATTTCAGAGTTTTGACTTGAGATTTAGCTCCTGAACTTTGTAATTTCATTCATCTTTGGTTTTTTATATGTGATTTATTAAAACTAGTGATAAGAAAAGTGTACAAAATATGCATTGCTAATCTACAAATGCTACTTATAACCATCACCTGAGTATAGAATTCCAGTTGCATCTTGATATACCATGTATGTGTGATAGAGGAACAATTTAAATCACTGATTTGTTTCACACACATGGCCTAAGATAATGTACATTTAAAGCTGAATGTACTTAGGCATTTGTTTAATCCCTGCGTTTTTTTCCATCTCATTAAATGTTTGGCTTGTAGCTTTGCCTTATAGAGCTGATGACAGTTGACACATATTCAGCATTTGTGGGGCTGTTCTGACTGCAAAGTTGTAGCCTCCGTTTTGTTTCTTTGGCCTAAGTGTACAATGATAATTAAACAAATGTCATTACTTATTCTGAATATTTTAAAAAATTACTTTCATATTAGAGATCAGATTTTTAATCAATTTTTATATTTTCTAGCACGAGCTCTTCGTCCTAACAGAATGTATTGGAGACAAGGCATCTACTTGAATTGGTCTCCTGAAGCTTATTGTCTGGTGGAATCAGCTGTATTTGACAACAACCCAGACAGTTTTTTGAAAATTACAGCACCTTCTTGCAGAAAAGGTTAATTATTCCTGAGATTGATTTGTGCTCGAGTTTGATTGCAGCTTGGCATTTTGCTTTGTTGTGCTTTTGCCTTTTGGAATGCAAAATTCAGCTTTATAATTGTAAGTTTACCAGATAGAGGCTGCAATTTCCCTGTTTTGGTTTGTTGAAGGTTGCATCCTTTTGGGACAAGTTGTGGATCACATTGATTCTCTTATGGAAGAATGGTTTCCAGGTTTGCTGGATATAGATGTATGTGGTGAAGGGGAAACACTGTTGAAGAAATGGGCTCTGTACAGTTTTGAGGACGGTGAAGAACACCAAAAAATACTACTTGATGACTTACTTAAAAAAGCTGAAGAAGGTACGCATATATCTGAATTTCATTATAGCTGTGTTTGTCATGTGCACTTTTAGAGCTCCGTGCATCTTCCAATGCCTTTTGATTGCTGACTGTGCTTTCTTTAAATTCTAATGTATTTTTCTCAGGAGATCTTTTAGTGAACCCAGAGCAGCCAAGACATACCATTCCCATTGCTCAGATTGCTCCCGATCTCATCCTGGCTGACTTGCCTAGAAACATTATGTTGAACACTGATGAGCTGGAATTTGACAAAGCTCCTGAATTTCTCTTGGGTAAGCATTATTTTGAAGGTCTTTTTAGGAGAGCTTACATTGGCAAATCTGTTGAAATCAGTTCTGCAATGTATGAAAGACAATTGAGAGATTTGTCCTCAGCAGAAATGTTTTTTTTGAGATGCACAGAATTTCAGGCTATTCAGTTCTGAATTTTCCATTAACTGTTATACAGGGACTCTGTTTTTAATGTGTTTTGATTATTGATCATGATGTTTACCAGTGGAAGATCCACGCATTTTAAAACAGGATCCTTTTGGCTATTTTTGATAAATGACTGATATGCCTTTGTTTTCAATATTCTTTTCAATGTTGTTTTTGAAAAGGTGATGGTGGGTTTGGATCAGTGTACCGTGCCTCCTATGCTGGAGAAGAAGTTGCTGTAAAGATTTTCAATAAACATACTTCCCTCAGGCTCCTAAGACAAGTAAGAAGTGATGCTCTGTTTTCTGTAGTGCTGCTTGTGGAATACCAACCCTGGTAAAGAGCTTAAAATACTCAAGTACTGTGCAAGACTATTTCAAAACATTTCAGAGCTATGCTGCCCACAGTATTTCATCTGATTTTACAATTTTCAGGAGCTTGCAGTGCTTTGTCACCTCCATCATCCCAGCTTAGTGTCTTTGCTGGCTGCTGCTGTCCGTCCCCGGATGCTGGTGATGGAATTAGCCCTTAAAGGATCTCTTGATCGTTTGCTTCAACAAGACAAAGCAAACTTAACTAGAACACTTCAGCACAGGATAGCTCTACATGTAGCTGACGGCTTAAGGTAAAGGTGACTTCTGTGCTGCTGTAAAAATACAACTGCAGTTTGGACATACTGAAAATGAAAAGCTAATCTTTTCTTACATCTTCAGCAGAACACTTATTGGGCAGACAAATACCTGTATTTTTCTGATGATTATCTGATACAGAGCACAAGGTTTTTTTACCTGTTTTTTAGGTTGCGGGTTTTTTTTTCTTTTTTGTGGTAATAAGTGGAGCTCATAGAAGCAGAGATATGGCAGAAGCATTGATTGGAATTTGCTATGTGGCCATGGATTCTGTATTATAGTATCACAGAAATTAATTCAGTTACGTTTTTACGTTTCTGAAAGTCCACAAATGTCTTCAGAAGCTCTGGAAGTGTGACCATGAAACCACAAAATCTGCAAAATTTGCACAGAAAGTTCAGCTTGTGAGATTGTTGTCAAACAACCACTGACACTGCAGATAAGACTTGGCACTAAAGTTCTACAGTGTTTGTGTGGCAGTAAATACTGTATCAGAACAATTCTGAAGCTATTATTTAGTAAGGCAGGGTCGTGTTGGTGATTCTTCATTTTTTTGTTACACATTATTTCACATTTGAAACCACAATTTACTGTTGTGGGAACGATGCATGTAGTGTTTGTGTACACGTATCCCTGAATTATGAATGCTTCTAATAAACACTTCTTTGGTTAACAGGTACCTGCATTCAGCAATGATCATTTACCGTGATCTGAAGCCTCACAATGTGTTGCTCTTTACCCTGTATCCCAATGCTGCTGTCATTGCAAAGATAGCTGACTATGGCATTGCCCAGTATTGCTGCCGAATGGGAATTAAAACCTCCGAAGGCACACCAGGTCTGGAAAAATGCTTTGGCTTACATCAATTCAAAAAAATAGTAATACTTTTTTGTTTAAGTTTGTAATAAGCCTCCTGTCTATACTGTAGTTGAAATCTCCCACTGTGGTCATGCTCATATTCTACATTGTGGTATCAGATTTGTACCCCTCAGCATTTATTCCTTTTGTGCTCTAACCCCTCTTAGAGAATTATGAATCATAGAATCATAGAATCCTTAGAGTTGAAAGGCAGAAGTCTTCTTTTAGTATAGATTTTGAGGTACTGAAATTATACTTCTAAAAGTGTTTGTTGTTTGAATTTTCACTAATGCATGGATAGGTCTTTTGTTTGTTTGTTTTTTAAGGCAATGAATACCTGCACTGTTCTCTCACCTGCAAGAGAACTATTAAGCATCAGTCCTAAAGCACTGAGCACTTGAAGAACTCTGAATAGTTCTTTTAGGTCTTTGAAATTGTTTATGACATATGGCCTCAAGTGTTAAGTGTTAGCTCTTCAAAAAGACTGCAGACTTGTTTTTCATTTTAATTTTTATGATAAATAAATTATTTTATACCTATTGGTGCAGGAGGTCTGTAATTTATGTACCATCTCCTTCCTTTACATTGATTACTGATATTTTGGTTAGTCTGCTATATGCAAACTATTCCAGCCCAGAAACAGTGTGACATTTTTTGTTTACTGCCTCTGATATTTTCATCAGTAAGTGTTTATTCAAGAACAAAGATGGCTTCAACTTGGTATGAACCATAAATATTAATGATTTATTTGCAGGATTTCGAGCACCAGAGGTTGCCAGAGGAAATGTTATTTACAATCAGCAAGCTGATGTGTATTCATTTGGCTTGCTTCTCTATGACATTTTAACAGGAGGAGGTAGAATAATGGAAGGTGTGAAGTTTCCAAATGAATTTGATGAGCTAGCAATACAAGGAAAGTTACCAGGTATGCCTTGTTTCTTCCAGATCTAACATGAAACCAGGCCATTTGCTTCATTTCCTCTAAAAATAACAGCTCTTGTTTTACGTTGTATCTGATGTTGATCGAAGTAGAGTCCAAACAATAACACTTTTTTAGAAACTTCTATTTCCACACAGTCTTAAAATAGTGAGAAATAAGCATCTATTCAACGTACGTTGGTTGTAATTTCAAGGCATCAAGTTCATTTTAGAAAGAGATAGAGATTTTCCATACTTACAATTTTGCCCAGACCTAACTTAAATGAGCGTTGCTTGAGGTATCTTCTAAAGTCATGTCTGGACTTGACCCTTGCCTACTACTTTTTAATGTATATCATGTAATGTATCATTAAAATAAATCTACTTCTCTTCTTTGATCATGATGCATTACTGATTTTACATGATACATTATTGAGGAGCTTATCTCACAATCTTTTGAAAAATCTTATAAATGCACTGCCTTTAAGAGCAGCCACTGCCCGTGAAGGTTTTAAATAGTAATCCCCTTGAATGTGTCAGGCATTGGGAGTCCCTGCCTAGCTATGTAGCATTCTTCAAATACCAGATGCATTGCAGTGTGTGGTTGCTGGTTGCTGAAGAAAGGCTAAGCAGGGTGAACATGATGTAGTCAGCTGGACAGTGTAACTCATGGTGTTCTCATTTATTGCCCTGCAATAGAGGGTAAGAAATGTTCTTTAAGGCTGAAAAGTCACTCCATCTAAGAAAGGGCGGTTATATGACTTCTCTATTTGAGAGATAGAGTTCACACATTTTCAACTCTGTAAAGAGAATAGTCCAGTTCATAATAATGATCAGAAGCATTAATCACTGGGGATAATACAGCTCCATCTGTATACATGGTTGTCTTTTATATATTTCCACCACGAAAAGGACTGGCTGAGTTCACAAGTAAACAGAGCCCATTGTTTGCTAAACAGAATATGTTCATTTGTAGGTTTTACTCATTAACTTACTAATTCATGCTACTTCTGCCTAATGGAGGACTGGAGTATCTGCTGTACATGTTGATGAGTCAAGAGGAAAAGCAGTACAAGCACTGGTACTCATGAGTGATTTGTTCCTCCAGTGGTCAGCACCTTTAGTGATAAGATGCACATTCAAAGCACTGAGTGGGGATTTAAACTTCCATATCTCATAAATACTATTTGGAGTTGCTTATCTGAACTGCTATAGCATTTATTGAACACAGGAGAATAAATCTGGGGAAAAGAAAAAATTGTCGATAGGAATTGAAAAGACTACAGACAGAAATGACATGCCCTGGAGTGGTCAGCGTGAATCTTAACATAACTCACACATATCTGATTCAGTCCTCATGAAAAGGGACTGAATCCATTTACTTTAATTGCTTTTAAAGAGAAAGACTCTAACTCCATGACTCTCATTTTTCTGTGATAGCAGATGAGCAGTTCCAAGCTGTGTGTTCTGACATTTTGCCTCAGAGCGTGGTATTACTTGGAGCAGTTTTGTAAGAAGTTAGATGGATTCTTAAATTAAGGAGAAAGATATTCAGAACTTGTAGTTCTGCTGTGAGAGGCTGCCTAAGAAGTTATCTTATTTTTCATTTAAGATCCTGTCAAAGAATACGGGTGTGCCCCCTGGCCTAAAGTTGAACATTTAATTAAAAAATGTTTGAAGGAAAATCCTCAGGAACGGCCAACGTCTTCCCAGGTATTACTTAGTGTGTTTATTAGTATTTTTGTGATAGATGACACCGTGAGGTTATTGTGCTATCTAAAAAGAAATAGCAGGTTTTCATCAGTAAGAGGCACAGTGTTTTCAGTGTTGTTCTCCTTCTCTGGAAAGAAAACAACCATGGAATACTGCCTGCCCTTATTACCCAGGATAAACTGTTCCATTCAGATCTACCAACCATTTATTGCAGCCTTCTGTTTTTCCTGGTTTTGCTCTGTAATGATGATAGTGAAACAGAGTGCAGATTACTTCATATTTTTTACTGGAGTTATGCAAAAAGGACTTTGTTGTATAATATCAGCACAGATTCCTCACACTGTTCCATGCATGTGAGAGGAGGAACAGTGACGTGGATCTGAAATCTACTGTCTGTTATCACACATCACAGTGCTCTTTGATGTGAAATTTTGAAGCATGCTTTAATCCCGCTGACCTGAAAAATAAGAAAATGAAGGTAAAGTTGCTCGTTGAACATTGCTCATTAGTAACAATATACAAATTAGCTAACAATACACAAATTAGCAGACTTGCTGAGATAGCATGTCTGTATTCCATAAAACATTGCTATCCATCCCTTGTTATTTATTTAGCCCTGTACAAGCCCTTGTTATTACCATGTGCATGCTGTGGCTTTCTTTGTAGGTGTATGAGATTTTGAATTCTGCAGAGCTTATCTGTTTGATGAGGTATGTTTCAATACCCAGCACTTCCACAGCAGAGTGCATGGTAGCTGCCAATCAAAGCTGCAAGAAGGCAGGAGTCTGGATAGGCAATGGGAACACAGAAAAAGCACAGCTTTCGTTTGTTAACCTAAATACAGATGGACATACTTGTGAGGTATGTGTGAAAGTTGTCATTTATTATAACTTCATTGGCACCCAGATGTGTTTCAGAAGAGTTAACTGCATTTGAACAGTAGGACATTGCTTCTGGACAGTTCAGCTTTGAGAGATCTTGGCAAGAAAAAAGATTTCTTGTAAATGAATCATCCTTGCATCCATGAAACATAACAGAAACACTCTCTTATCCTCTCTTCCTGCCATCCTGCTTGAACTTTTGACTAATTCTCTTTTCAACACCATGTTTCTTTCTTACACTGAGATGGGGATTGGAACGTGATGATCCGTGGGATCCCTTCCAACCCAAGCCATTCTATGATTCTATGGAAGCTATTTATTTCTAGCATGGAGGCCAGGACGAGAAGTAATAACTGTATAGCTATTACATACCCTTTGTGCCTCCACGTCCCCTAATAGTCCAGCTAGTCTCTTAACAATTCCTCTCTTCCCAGGTATGTCGCCTCCTTCTGACACTTTGGGTGATAACCTTCAGCTCTCTTGATTTGCTTTTTGTTCATGCCTGTCTTGTGCCAATAGGAAAGTTTTACCCAGGCTTGATGAGCTGTGATATCCATGTGTTTCTCTTCATCTTCCAGAACTGAGTGTGACTCATCATCAAAGCTTTTTAAATTGAATTTCCATAAAGTGTCTGCCATCTGTTGAGCGTGATACATTTGAATTAGTAGACTTGGTATGAATTGTATGCCTTATTTTTCTAAAACTAAAATGGAAAAAAAAAAAGTTAGACCTCTAGCTTTACTGTTAGCAACTAAACTGAACCAATATTGTGTAGCTCCGTTTGCTTAATGCTCTGATGGCTTTTGAGACCTTCATTAGAATAGGGAGATAAAGTATTTTTCCCAGTGTTCATCTTAGAGATTTTCCTATGTGCCGTTTGAGGCGGCCTTCCCAGCGCTATGAAGATAGATGTACACGTGAAGATTGTTCTGCTAATCAGGAATTAGATGTCATGGAGAACACCTTCATGGGAAGACTCAGTGCCCAGGAAGATTGTACCTTATTTTTGCTACCAGCAATTTACTACTGTTCACCTGCATTAAGAACACAACTGGCTTGCTGAGTGTTTTATTGTTTTTTTTCTGACTCAGGATATTGCAGATAGTAAAATTTTAAGTTTGGCATTGGTGACCCTTCCTACTGAGAAAGAAAACTGGATTGTGGCAGGAACCCATTCTGGTTCTCTGTGGGCAGTGAACACAGAAGATGAAACAAGACGGCACCGTCTGCAGAAGATGTCTGATTCCATCACCTGTTTATACTGTAATTCACTTTCCAAGCAAAGGTTTGTATGGCTTTTAAATATTTTGTGTTACACTTCAAAAGTGCCACAGAACAGAGATGTCCAGAAAGTGACAATTCTACATTCATGAGATGCTTCTGTCCTATTTTGTCCATGTTTTCACTTCCTTTTGTATCCAGTGTAACTGGAAACTATATTCTTGATCACAGGTGGTTGTATTTGCTGATGGGGTTCAGTGAAACTCTTGAAGCACCAGTGGTTACTAATTTAATTTTGTCTTACCTGATTCGTGCATTTTTTTGAAATCATTGTTTTATTTTGTTTTGTTTTATTTCAGCAAGCAGAAGAATTTCTTTCTGGTAGGCACAGCTGATGGTACACTGGCAGTGTTTGAAGACAGAGCAGTAAAGGTAGATTTATTCTTTCTAGTCTGTTCTAAAAATGCTGCCAGTAATATGTAAAGCACTTACTGATAGTGGCTTTATTTCTTCCAGCTTATCTTTAAATTGCTTCTCTAAAATTAAAAATCATTTTTCTGTACAGTCTGAGGGGAGCTGCACATGTTTTACAATAAATGTTTTAACCAGTAGTTAAGAGGGGAAAATTATTTGTTGTTCTAGGACTTAGCAGTTCTATGATTCTGTGACTTTGAAGGCCTGACTAGAGAGGGGCATTAATAGTTACTATTCAGAATATTCTGAGACCATCTCCTTTAGCTATTGCTCCTACAGTTCCTTTTTTTCTTTTCAATCTACACTACATTTTCCCTCTGTAAAACAGATACTTCAAGAAGACAGTATTGTTTAGACTCCCTAGAGGTCAGAGTTCTGTTCACAGAACATATAAAGAGATGCCAGTACCATTCCTGTTGGCTGGTTCCTGAGGGTTAGCTGCTGCCCATAGGCAACTTAGGGCAGTTATGGAGTTGCAGTGCACTTCAGAGCTAGAATATGGCCTGGTCTGGATTTTCACTAGGATATCAAATGTGGCTTTCTTGGACTGGGCCAGCAGTTGTAGAAGTTACGAGTCCCAGCTCTGTCCTATTTCTGTCCACGCAGGCTATATTCTTTGGGCATTCATAATGGACTTGCAGTCCCTGCCATCCTGCAGGGAGAATGTTTCAAAAGATCTAGCTGTGAATATTCTGTGGGTTGTGTGGTGTTGCTTTAATAGTTCCTCCTTTGTGTGTCTGTGTGCTCCTTGTTTCTAATGGAGAGCGTATTTCTTCCCACAGTGTAAGGGTGCAACACCTTTGAAGATATTAACCATAGGAAATGTTAGCACACCACTGATGTGCTTAAATGAATCCACGTATTTATCTGAAAAAAATACAATCTGGGGAGGCTGTGGAACAAAGCTCATAGCTTTATCTAGTGATTTCTCTGTCCAAAAGCTGATTGAAACAAAGTCAAGCCAACTGTAAGTTTTTTAATGTAATGTCACTTGGCTCTTTTCTTGTTTGTGTCAAAGATTTCTGATGGTACTTTGGTATGATGTTTTGTTCTGGATCTGTTCGGGTTTTTTAAGTTCATCTTTCCATTATTTTCCTTCCATAATATCAATGAAATACAGTGTGCATTAAATAAAGATCACCGAGTGATGTGTAAAGTATTCATTGCTGCTTTTAAGCAAGGGAAATGCATTGTTACTATATGAAGGGTTTATGATGTCAATATGTATTTGAAAACTCTATAAATGCTAATGAACACTTTCCTCCCTTGATGGCATTTGTGTAAGCTTTGGTTGCTTTAGTCAGAGGCTACACTCCATATTTTGAGCAGCATTTCTCCTTATGTGTTGGTATTGCACGTGCATCTATCTTTTTGTCCTGCATGGGTGAATCATGTGTGACTGCTGACCTCTCACTATTTAGGTAGTTTTTGGAGCTGTGATTCTAATCTGGCTAAATCCTGCTCTGAAGTTATGGGCGTTTTTCCTGAGATTGTAATACAGGGTTTGATTTGATACTAATAGAGAGAATTATTCTAGGAAATGAATTTGCTTTGGAAAATAATGTTAACGTAAAGGAAGAAACTAAAGCTTTGGTAGAATTCAGTTCAATGGCAAGATGGAAGGTGTGTCACAGGAGTGCTTCAAGCTTTGAAGGAACTAACTGTGTGCAGTTTAGCAAATGAAATTGTCAGAAACAAGTAGCAGTAGGGAAAGCAGCAGTGTTGCTGAGTCTGTTGTCAGTGTCCGTGATTTGGAGCTGCTCTTCAAGATACATTGAAGAGGCAGTGGAATAAGATAACTGATTAATTGCAGGGCTAGTAATAATTCAATGTGTAGATCTGGATGAGAGCCAAAGTCATTTGTAGAGAAAAGCAGACAAAAGGCAGTTGGCTGCATGGAGATGAGCAGAGCAAAGTGAACTCAATCTCACTGCTGCTTTTTAGGCTTAGTCATCCTTGGTAAGTGACCCTTATGGTCTTGTGGGCCCTGCAGCAGCTGTCAGGTAGCTCCAAATATTGGAAGAGTGGTTAAAAAAAAAGGTGGAGTTTGCCCTGCTGTGATGTGAGCATTTGTGATTTGAGCAGACAGGCAGGAAAGATTTGGAATATATCTCCAGGGATATCATCACTGCAACCTCACCACTGTGAGAATTTACATTAAAGTGTAGGAAGGTTACTGCAAGCCCTTGCAATTGTATCTTAGCCCACTGGGGTTGTAAGGTTGAATAAATCTCTTCAAAGTTACAGACAACTTGATTATATTCAGATTTTTTTTTCTGCTGGATGTTTTCTGTGATTCTGACTGGAGTTTTTCTCTCTTCTAGGTTCTGCCACAACGCTTACAGCGATGCAAACATTATTTCAATAGCAGTAGACAAATCCATCTACTTGGCAAAGAAAAATAGCCATTTTGTGGAAATCTGGGACAAGAAGACAGAAAAGCTTTCTGAACTAATTGACTGTGCGCATTTTCTTAAGTAAGTACTTTATTTTAAACTGATGGCCTGTTGCGTAGAAAGCTGACTGAAGGTTGCCTTCTCCAGCGTATCTGTACGATGTGCTAGATATTCATACCTCACATTTCTGGTGATAAGGGGCTTGCCCAGTTCCTTAGGGGGATTTCTTTCCTCTCTTCTGGCCCAGAAAATCAAAATATTCCATATGGAATCTCAGATCTCTAAGACCTTTATTATATTTCACAATTTGTGATTTCAAGAAGATTAATTTAACTCTATTGAAGAAGAAAGTCTTTTGCTGTCCTCAGCTGATTGGGTAAGATAATCATGATTTGTGTTCAGTTTTACTGCCTGCATCCCGTAATAAAAAATGTCTTCTCTCTACATCAGAGTTTTAATAGCAGTGACAGCAATTTACATTTGCATTTAAATTGTTCCTGCCTCTTCCTTAGCATTCCACATCCATTTCATTTTTTATGAAGGCTAGGAGCAGCTTTAGATGTGCTCCTCCCCCTCTGCAGAAACCCTATTCTGCAAACTGAGGAAAAACAGAAGTGTACCTGCCTCCTATTTAAAGATCTTTTCCAGGACACTGGCTGGTTCTTAGAAGTCCAGTAGTTTTCATCTCAGACTGTTTAAATTAAATGAACTGATTAGCATGAGGTATTTGCAGTTTGTCTTGATGAATGATCATGTGAAAGGCTGGCACTGAGGGAGATGTTCTAGCAGCTATGGGATGGTGTGCCACCAAAATTTAATACAAATTCTCTCCACACTTTTAGGGATGAAGTGGAAAAACTAAACCAAGAATCAAAACATAAAGTTGCTTATTCTGGAAGAGTGAAGACAATTTGCTTGCAGAAAAATACTGCACTGTGGGTAGGGACAGGAGGAGGACATATCCTGCTACTTGATTTATCAACACGTCGTCCTGTACGAGTAATAGATAACTTTTGTGACTCTATTCGAGTCATGCTAACAGCTCAGCTAGGTAAGTAAAGCCATCAAATGACAAGCACTTTGAAATCAGTGCCAAGATTAGGCTCTCTGGCTTCTGTCTGATGCAGTGTTCCAGGTATGGATCAGCATTTTCCGTGTTCTGTTCATTCATGCTATTCTGCTGCTGTCATCTTCACTCAGTGTCAGACAGACCTACAGGCTGCCATAGCTGTGCTCACAGAAAACAGCAGCTTTCCCCTGGCTTATCATGTGAACACCCCCACCTTCACTGTATCCTTTGTGCTGTGCTTCAGCACAGCTCTCACTGTCCACTGTCCTCTTAATCTCTGTCTGCCTGTGTTGATTCTCCATCTTAAGTTTTATGCTTCTGGTTTCTCTCCCTGTGGAGCTCGTTGTGTTTTATTATTTTCCTTAATTGCTAATTTCCTGCTTTTCTTCTACCATACTTATTCAAGAATTACCAAGTCACTTAGGTTGGAAAAGACCTTTAAGATCATCAAATCCAGCCATCAACCTGACCTACCAAATCCCATCATTAAACTGTGTCCCTTATTGCCATATCCATCTCTCTTAAATACTGCCGGGGATGGGAACTCCATCACCTCCCTGAGCAGCCCATTCCAAAGCTTGATCCAACTTCCCCCATGAGGAAGTTCTTCCCACTGCCCCATCTGAACCTCCTCTGCTGCAGCTTGTGCCCATTTCCTCACATCCTATCACTTGTCACTCAAGAACAAGGACTGACATCTTCCTTCCAGGTGGTTGTAGAGTGCAATGAGGTCTCCTCAGCCCCCTTTTCTCCAGACTAAACATCCCCAGTTCCTTCAGTTGCTCCTCAGGACACCTGTTTCTTCACCAGCTTCAATGCTCTTCACTTGCGCTCGAGCAACTCAGTGTCCTCCTGCAGTGAGGGGCACAGAGCCCAGCCCAGCACTCGAGGTGTGGTTTCACTGGTGCCACATACAAGGATACAGCCAGTCCTGCTGCCACGCTGCTTCTGATGCAGGCCAGGGCACACTGATCTTCTTGACCACCAGTGCACACTGGGGGCTCTCCTTCAGCCAGCTGCCTCCGGGTCCTGTTCTGCTGGACAGCTTTCCAGCCACTCTTTGCTGAGCCTGTACTGCCCCATGGGGTAGTTTAAAGCTCAGAGCAGCACCCAGCACTTAGCCTTGTTGAATATCATTCAGATGCTTTTTTCAGGTTTGGGTCACAGGCAGATAGCAGCAAAGCTGGAAGAGTGTCCCAGGCTTGGACTCAGATGAATACATATGTGCTGTTCCCACCACCTCATCAGGCTGCTGTGATGCAGTGATCTCACAGTGCTCTCAGTGTTGTATGAGTTAAAAAAACCTCCATCTTCCTCTGGCTTGCTTTTGCCTGGGACAGCAAGTTCATATTTTGTTCCTCAGCTCTAAGTGTGCCAGCTTCTGAGTCCAGACCCACTAACACAGCATTATGAGTCCTTCTGGTCTTGATAGCTACAGTATGAGTGCTGTTAAGGGACCCTTCTATTTTTGGTGTTTTGTACAAATAGAATAGTTACCATAAAAGTAAGGTTTCTGCCTCATGTTATTGCCATTGGCAGGAAAATTATATTGTACAAAGTAATACTGTGTGACTTCACAAGCCTTGAGTCTCATATACTTGGTTTCCAGACTACACAGTATTTTTAATCAAAATTTTATAGAGAGAAAAGTTAATACTTCATGAGAAATAGATTGGTTGCATTTGCACACAACTCAAGAATGGCAAGAGACTGATTCATGCCATTTGATGTGTACTTTTTCCTTTTGATCATTTTCTCCCAGCAATTATTTATAGAAGCTGGGCTTTTCTCCTACATTCAAAGACTTTGGTTCCACTGGTGCATTCACAGAAGCCCTGGAAATGGCACCATGGCTGCTGAACTGTTCTTCATTTTAACATTAAAATATGTAAAAGCAATGTAACTATTTTCAGAAAAAAGGATTGTCAGGTGTTGATACATCAATTTTATCTTTCGTTTACGTATGAATAAGTGAACATTTCTTTTTCTAATTCTGTCACTTGACAATTCGCAAATAACACACAAGCCATCGTCTTTAGGGGACGGTTTATGAGTAAATCTGTGTTTTAGTTCATTTTGCAAGTGACAGTGTAAACTTCTCTACAGTAAGCCAGGCCTCTAGGCTGAGTAAGAAATCTTGCACTTACGTTCCCATCCGTTCAGTACGAAGTATGGACAGAGCTAGGTGCAAATAAGGCCTGCTGTCAAACCTCTTGTCGTGGGAGATGCACAAATCTCCCATCAGCCCTCTGCAATCCAACCACTCTGGCCTCCCCAGTTGTTTTCCGCATTATTCCAGAGGTACTTCATTGTGATCCATCCCCTATTTCTACTTAGTTCTGAACTCTTTCAATGAGTTTGTATCGTATTTGACTGTTTCTCTTGTTTACAACCAAACTGATTGCTGGCACTTTCTGCTGGGCATTGGAACTTTGCAGCCTGTGCCTTCACTGTGACATCTGTTTTCTGCGACTGCTACGTCTGCACATGGTGAATAGCAGAGTACTTTGCTCTCAGGCGAGTTCAACAGGCTGAACAGCTGATCTAGGCTTTGAACTCTGGTCAACCCCTACATTAAATAGAGACATTAACTGTATTGTTTGTTTTCATGTTGCATTTTCTCATGGTGGATGACTATGAATAAAGGGCCCAAAGAAAAATTCTGATTTCTGTCATTTTAGCAGCATTTATAAGGTACTCTTTCTGTCCTTAAATTACAAAGTTCCCATTAAAATTAAAATCTGAACTTTCATTTCTTTGAAAAAGGGAGTCTGAAGAATGTGGTGTTGGTTTTGGGATACTGCTACAAGGGTGACACCGAAGATGACAAATACCACAAAGGTATCTGAACTGTGTTTTATTAGTTTATATTATTAGTGGCGCAGAAACTTTGATGCTTGGCCACCCTCTGAGATATATTTGGAGAGCTGATGATCAACATTTGATACACTCTTATTAAAATCATTATTAGTTTTTGTCATCTGCTGCATTTCTTGGCTCCTTACAAACAGTAGCTACCTGAACTGATCAGATGAAGCTACTCTTTGAAGGGCATATAATTTTCTGGAAAACTATTTTCTGGAGAGTAATTGCCCATGTCTAATTGGAGAGTGTGTCAAATGGATTTCCAGAGGGGCCTCCAGGAATATTCAGTGTTCTTGTGAACAGTGTGGATGAAGGAATAGTGTATCTGCTTTTCATTTTGGCAGACAACACTTAGCTCAGAGAAGCCACGAGCACAGGGGAGGACAGGATTGGAATTCACAGCAACCTTGACAGATTGAACAAATGGTCTGGAAGGAATTGGATACAGTTCAGTAAGGACAGATGCGAGCCCTCAAATGTAATGAGGGGAGATCTGCAGATCTGCTGTACCAACATGAGGAAATGGTCAGCTTAAGCAGTGATGCTGAAAAAAGGTTTATTTTGATCACAAACGAAACATGAGTCAACAGTGTCATGTTCCTGCAGAAGGGGCAAAAACCGTTCTTGTGCCAATAGAAAAATGGCTTCTCTAAGACATGGGAACTAATTCCTGTGCTCTGCTGAGCTCTGATAAGGCCTCGGCTGGAGGAGTGCGTCCATCTGGGACACTGCTGAACGATCTGAACTGTTAGGAATTGTCCAGAGGAGAGAAATGCAACCTCCGGGAAATATTGAAGATAGATTCTTGATATAAAGAAAGCATTCAAAAGATATGATAATAGGCTTCAAGTGTGTAAATAAAGAGGAGGGGAATAACTTCAACATATTATTCCCTGTGGGTAGGATAGAGGCTAAGCAGTTTCTATTACAGCAAGGGAGATTTAGGTCATACATCAGGAAGAGCTTCCTGACAATTAGGATAGCGAGTACTAGAGCAGGAAGATAAAATTAAGGACAGTTACAATTGATGCTCTCTCTGATGCCCTTCTTCAGCTTTCTCCCATCGCTGTTTCTGACGCTCTTGATAACAAGACAGTATACAGTTAAAAGATGGCAAGCGTAGATGAGCTGACTGCAGTAGAATAACAGTCAAACTAAAGACTGAAGAAGTGGCCCTGTTTCAGTATTTTCAGTACCTTCTGAAATCAGTTGTCAGTGAATGGATTTTGAGCTTTTTATGCATTCTAGGTGTATCCGCTCAGAAACAAAGATGAAATGTTATGCTGCCACCTCAATATTAGCGTTGACCATAGCTCAGGTCAACACCTTCTGGCCCACAGGCACCAGAAGTGGTTTCTGAAGCACTTTAAAATGGTTTAAGATTTGGAATCCAAATCATTGTGCAAGTACAAATGGCCGTGGCCTGAAACTTAATTACTACACGCTGAAGGTGTTACACAGCTTAGCTTCCAGGTGCTAATTATACCTCAGACAGGCAATTAATGAGCAATTAAATGATGAGCAGACAAGCAAAATCACTTCTATTTACACATTTGTTCTATTGCTATTTTCTTTTTTTTTTTTTTTTTTTCCCCAGAATTACAATCCTGTGTGTCAGTGTGGGACATTAACCTCCCCCATGAAGTGCAAAACCTGAAGAAGCATATAGAAGTGAGACAGGAACTAGCCGAAAAAATGAAGAGCTTCACTTTAGACTGAAAAAACCCCTGCAAGTGCCATTCTCTTTCCTAGACCTCTATCCTAACTCACTGTGCAATATTCAAAGCCTCCTGTTGCGGGGCTCCTTAACCCAAACCAGGAAAGAAACCTTCCCAAGTCATTGTGTGACTAAGAAGAAAGAAGGGAGTTATTTATAATGTTCAAAAGGACAAAAAATCATTAAGAATTTCATAATGTAAAGATTATCATGTGTCTGTTTACTCACGAAGTTCTGTGCCAAGCAACCGTGGCTCAGCTTTGGGATAAGTTTGTTCATCCAGTTTTTAATCCCTCTTCAGTTGGGAATAACCCTGAAAAGGAAGAAGACTGAAAATGGCTCTGAGTTTCTTCATTATCTCTACTGAGTTGACACCATAGTAAGAAGCAAAACTGAAGGCTCTGTTTGCTTATTGCAGTCTTGTATGTGTGAGTTGTCACTGATGATTCATGTTTTATTCGTGTCAGAGCTCTTGACCTCAGCCAAACAAAGGAAAACATTGTATTTCATATAAATAACTGAATCTAAGGAGCATGTATTGACTGTTTTCATGAGGAGCAGTGCAATGAGCAGATTATAATCTTTGCTTCTTTCATCAGTAATTGACATTTTCCATTGCGATCAGAAAACCAAACTGTGCTAAAATAATACAGTTCCTCTGAATTCAGAATTGAAATGCACTGACCAGCTCTGCACCTTGGTGCCCTCTTGCAGTAGTGCCGTCTGCCCTGTTCTGAGCAACAGAGTCACAGAGTCAGGAACGTTTGCATCCATGCACATCTATTGCACAGCTCACTTTTGGAGGCCACGGGAAGAGAGATAGAGAGAACTCCCGATGGAAATGCTGCTATGGCTCATACCACAAAGAAGGAAGCACGCTCAGATTCTTAGTGCAGCTTGCTTGTTTGCTTGCCTCAGACTGGGGCCTGGGGGAAGGCACTTCAATATATACAGCAGAGTTTTCACTTAGGCTTGTTCTAATTGATACAGTTATTTGGGGGTAGGCAGTGAAACCTCAAGGAGTGCAGGAGTTGGCCATCTCCCATGCGTAACTCCCACCAGAACTTGTTGCCACACACCTCCATTGCTTTCTGCCCGTCGGTCCAAGCTGCTTCTTACAGCCTTCACCTCATTAAGTCCCTCCATTCCATCCATCAGAAGACAGAGCTCATTTTCTTGTTGTGATATCAAAAGAATCCATAGGGTGCTCCTGAAATCCCGCAGAGCAGAGAACTCTGAGCTACTCCTGAGTTTATTCTCTGGAGCAGAAGGGTCAGCACCCTGCAGGCTCTCGGTTCCATTTTCCCAGTTTTGAAGAACTTCTATACCTGGACAGCAGCAGTTGCCACGTCCAGCTGCAGCAGTGTCCTATTTGCTGCCACTTGTGGTGTGCAGACTCAGGATGCCTTTCAGATCTGTACCCCAGTTTTTTATGCATTCTTGTATTCTGCACACAGAAGATAATGTGCTATTTATATGGGATTTATAACTCAGAAAATGTATATTGTAATGAATACATTTTAAAAAAAGATTATATGTGATGCAATTATGTTTATTTATGAGATATTTTGAGATGTAAGCTTTCTACCTTTTTATTAAAGTTGTGCTTTGTTAATGACAGTCTCCTTGCTCATTGCTCCATTTCCAAGGAGAAGCTTTTCTAGACAGCTTTTGTTGCACTTAATCCCTTATGTCTACACTTGTATTTGTGTCCCTGGGGAGGAGAAGCACTGTCCTGAGAGGACCTGTTAGACTGGTCCACATGAGGAGGTGACCCCAGGCAGTGCTGTTCCCCTGCAGTCACTACTCACCCATCAGAAGATCACTGAGCAAGAACAACCCACAGACTGAACCTGGCCTAGGGGGTGAGTGTTACAGGGGTAACAGAGCCACAGAGCCAACAGCAGCCAACCGAAAGGCAGGAGGTCATTACAAACACAGCTAAGCTGGCCACTGCTGGGGACTGGCCTCCCCTCCCAGCTGCAATGTGCTCAGCACAGCACAAGCTCTATCAGCTGTGATGCTGCCTGCATCAGGATAACATCCAGCATCTGAAAACTGAAGATAATCTTTACTTCAAGAAAAGCCTCTTTGCCCATGGGAAACAAGCTGCGCGGCTGGGCTGGAAGTTAACACCTGAACTCAACATTTAATTTACCCCATGTTGCTCAGCTGCTCAGAACCATGCAGCTGAAGGATGTTCAGCTCTACATCTGCTACGGCAGCAAACTGTGCAGAGGGAGCCAAACACTTCAATACTGATTTTGGTATTTTCTGCCTCAGGATTGTTAAATTCATCTCATTCTTCTTACTGGTTGCTTGCTCTGGCAAATTACACAGAGCAGATTCAGCCGCACATTAATTTTACCTTATTTACAAGCAGCCCAGGTTGATCATACTGTAACAGGTTTGATAGGCTGGTTTGATGCCCCCTCCGGTTAATATCCCATCGTTCCTTTTAGCCTGAACTGTCATGCTTGCTCGTGTCCCTCATGCCCTGTCCTGTCAGGATGCTGATCACTAAGATCCTCCCAGAAGCCACACATGGGAGAAGCAGAGGTGATCTGAGACAGCCAGCATGGCTTCATCAAGGGCAGCTGGTGCCTGACCCATCTGGTGGCCTTCTGTGATGGAGCGATGGCAGCAGTGGACAAAGGGCAACTGGTGTCAACTACATGGACTTGTGCAAGGCTGCTGACGTGCTCCCAACACCACATCCTTCTCTGTAAATTGGAGAGAGATGGATTTGAAGGCTGGACTGCTCAGTGAATAAGGAACTGGTTGGATGGTCACAGCCAGAGTTGTGGTCAATGGCCATACAGGTGGAGGCCTGTGACTCTGTGAATCCAGTACTTCCTTATGGACAAAGGTTGTTTGTCATTGCTGCCACTTAATAACCATGCCAACCTACCTGGAGCAAGGAAGGCTGATAATCAATGTTATGGAAACTTGTCTGATGGACAGGAGAGGCAGCAGAGCACTGGGGAGGGCTGGGCAGTGGGAATGCTTTGTAACAGCCAAAAACACTTTGTGGCCAAATAAACACAAAAGGGTTCAGCAAATTAGCAAAAGATGGCATTTTGCTCTCTGCCATGCAGAGAACTGCACAAACAATTCCTCATCACTTTTTCTGGCTTGTCTGTCAGTCATCAAAAATCTGACACCAATTCCCATGACTTGTCTTCAGAGGAGCAGTTTTTCTGATCAGAACTGGCAGGTGCTTATTCTTCTGTCAGAATAGGTTCTCAGCCCCACTGGGAACCCATCCCACGCCTACTACAATGCACAGTTTCAACAATAACTCATTTCTGGGCCTTAGAATAAACATAAAAATTAATTTTAAAACCAACACTCAATGCCTGTCTAATGAGTTCAACTCCTGCCCTGGGTCCCATTGATCAAGCAACAACTGCAAGAACAGCGTGTGCCTACAACACACACCTCAGTGCCAGGACAGTGCCTGCAGGCTGCTTCACTGATCTGAACTGAGCACTGAACTGGAAGCGTTTCATAAAAGTTCTTAAAAATGATCCTATCAATGTACCTATAAAACTGGCACAGCCCATGTTTCCCCGTGGCCACAGACGGGCCCTGGGTCAGCCTGCCCAGTGACGGGGCGCAATGACTGCGCTCACAGCTCCAGCCCTGCCCACACAGCCATGGCACAGAGCCACCGAGCTGCACACAGCGAACCTTGTTGTGAATGCCGGCCCTGCTGCTTTCCTTTACCTTGGCATCTCAGCAGTCACGTGGAAGGCATCCATTCCTCCCCAACACCCCCGGCTTCCACAGCACTCCCAGCCATAACAACACAGCAGAGGAGCCTAGGGCAGCGCTCAGAGCAGTGTGGGCTGGGTGCCGTATTCCTCACAGGTGACAGCACACAGGAGATGGCTCAGCTCCTGGCAGACATACAGAGGTTTCCCCACGGCCACCCTAAAGCCTCGGCCTCCTCGGCTCTTCCAGCCACCCCACTCTGACCTGCAGCTCCCTGGGATGGGACCACTCTGCAGGCAGCAGTGGCAAAACCTGGGTCCAGAATTGGGAAAATGCTCCCTGAGATTCACTGAGACTTGACATGAAGTCATGGGGAAGCCCATTTGACACAGCAGCCCAGCTCTCCGAGCATTTCGCTGAACACCCACAAAGCCCACACGAAGACTGCCTTCCTAAGCCCACTGCCTCAAAACTCAGAGCAGGGCAGACGTTTTTCCATCCCATCCTGACCTGACCTCATAGGAAGGGCCTTTGGAGGAGGACCAGAAATCCACCCACTCCCTGCAGCACTCCCCAGTTGGACTGGCAAACAGCACTGTTCCTTCCCCACCTGAATACTGTGACTGCAGCTCTGTCAGCAGCTGGTGGCAGCTCAAAGGATGCTGTCACGTTGCATTGCATGAGTAAAGGCTCAGTGAGTTCCACATCACTTCAAAAAAAAAGTTCAGCTTTGAAAGGTGAATTTCCAAACTTAAAATCCCTTCTCTGGCTGCAGCTCAAGAGAGCAACATCCCCACCTGGGAGCGGGCAGCAGGCCTGTTGAAAAGCCAGTTGTTCACTCTTATTAACAGCTTACCATATACATCTCATCACTCTTATTAACAGCTGCTAGCCAGGTAATTAATCTGCAGTAAACAGCAATTCTCAATTCCATCTATTACCCCCACCCAACCCTGCAGCTATCCCCAGCCCGGCATTGCGACTGCACAGAGCTGAGTCCTGCTGGAAAAGCCTGAAATCCCCATGGCTGCAGCTGACATCCAGCTTCTGCCAGCTCCCAGGGGCAGCTTGCCCAGGGCGGGGGCTTTGCAAGCCTCATCACTCCTTGGTGGTACTCACACCAAGAGGAGCACTGGTCCTGGGACTACAGATGTGGGAACATCTGCAAATGCTGGGGTGGCCAGCAGCGAGAGAGGTGATTGTCCCCTTCTGCTCTGCACTCGTGAGGCTCCATCTGGAGCACTGCATCCAGGCCTGGGGCCCCCAGCATAAGATACGGAGCTCTTGGAGCAGGTCAAGGGCCATGAATGATAAAGGACTGGAGCAGCAGAATAAAGACAGACTGAAGGAATTGGGCTTGTTCAGCTTCACGAAAACTGTGGAGAAACCTCACTGCAGCCTTCCAGTACTTGTGGGGAACTTACAAGCAAACCTTTTTCATGGTCTGATAGTGACAGAACAAGGGGGAATGGTTTTAAAATAGAACACGAGAGATTTAGGTTAACGTTAGGAAGAAATTATTTACTCAGGGATCAGTGAGGCCCTGGCACAGCTGCCCAGAGAAGCTATCGGTACCCCAGCTCTGGAGGCACTTAGGATGAGGTTGGCTGAGGCCCTGAGCTGGAGTCAGGCAGTCCTGCACGCAGCAGGGGCTTGGAACAGAATGAACTTTAAGGTCCTCTCTAACCCAAGCCATTCTATGCTTCTAAAAAATACCAGATTTTGCTGAAATCCTGCTAAGGGAAGGCATTTGCCTCCAGCTCTGTCCCACAGAAGGCAAACTACCACTCAAGGTAGATTTCTAATTTAATGACCCCAGTGACCCCAGACTGAACCACCAAAGCAGACTGCAGCAGCTGTAGGCACAAGAGCAGCTGTGGCTCGAGCCTTGGAAACACAGAAGTACCACGTTCCACACACCTGGGCTAAGTCAGCATCATCCCTGAACACAGCTCAACTGCTCTCATCGCTGCTGGAAGGGCTCTGGCAGAGCGCAGCCACACACTGTGCTGGCACTGCCTTTCATCTGCTTCCTACTTTCACATAATTTTGACTCCCATAACAGCAAGGAAACTTGAGGTGGGACCAGGAGCAATGCTATTTAATCTCTGCTTTTAAGTGCTTCTATGGAGGGTGATGCACTATCTTTACTTTCCTGAAGTGACACCAAAAATTCCAGTACAGTGCTATTGGGGATTACAAAAGTAGGAATTTCCCTGAGGGTTTAAGGCAGGAGCAGGAATTGTAGTGGAAATACTGACAAGAGGCTGGAAGTCCTGCCACGTGCCTCAGCTCCAACCCTGTGGAGCTTGGGCAGCCTCTGTGCCATCAGACCCAACAGAGACATCAGGAAAGGGGTGAGAGGTGATGCTCCGTTCCAGATCTCTGCACAAAAAGGAAACCCAACTGAGTCCCAGTTTTGCAAGTAACCAATGCTCACGCAGCTCCAAGATTTGACTGCAGGCATCAGACAGCAACAGACTGCACAGCATCATTACTTGAAGCATCACCTGTTATCTACTGGGTGTGCACACAGGCAACAGAAGTCTTCATGGCTCCTGATGCACCCTGTTGGTGAGCCTACCATCATCTGTGTCTCGTCCATGCGTGGTGATAGGATCCACAAGCAAGGGTCAAAAGGACAGCTGGGGGGGAAAGTTACTTTGTGTACAGGGACTGTGTGGTGGAATCAGAATGCAAAGAGCTCCAAGGAGGAGGCACAACATTAAAACATAACCCTCTGGGGAGCTTAACAACCAGTAACAAATGAATTCTAACATCAGCTGCTTGGTGTAAAACAACTGCAAATTGCAAGCTCAAAAATACCAAGCAAAGTAGGAAGCCAGCATCATCTGTGCGTCAGTGTGACCACTGCAATTACATTACTGCTGCTTTAAA